AAATCACTTCCTTGAATGGTGTAAAGCTTTGTTGAGAATTTATTACACAGGTGCAGTGCCTGCCTTCTGCACTCACTGCTTTAGTAGAAGTGATGCTTGACTTATAGTTTCACAGTTCAGGCAGCACTTAGAGTTTTGATTAAAACAGGAGGAAGTTCTGCTACATAGGGAGTAAAAGATATCCTGGCATGTGCATTTGCACTTGACTATTTTCTGTGTTTGTTGGTAGTACATTTCTTTCTCTGTTAGAGTCCCTTGGTGCACTGCTGCGTTAAGTGTGTGTGTATGCAGAATTTACTATGTCACTTGTTATACTTTCGTTTAATAATGTCCAGCTTATCTCTTCCCAAGTCAGCAGTCACTTTTGCAAGGAGACCTTCAGGATGTGGACCTAAGTTATTGTGAACTTCTGACTCCTGTGAGCAAAACATTGGACAATGTTATAAGCAATGGTGGCAGATTCAGCCATATACATCGCATCAGCTCTTTGTTTACAAAGCTGGTCATATTCTCTTACTCCTCCTGACTTGCACATACCTTCAAACCATAGAAAGGCGTTTTGTGATAGATTTCCTGTTCTAAGCAGCTGAACTCTTCTTATACACACCGGAACAGGTTGCCCAAGGAGGTTGTGGATGTCCCAGGCTTGGAGGCATTCAAGGCCAGGCTGGATGGCAGCCTGGTCTGGTGGTTGGCGACCCTGCACATAGCAGGGAGGTTGAAACTAAATGATCATTGTGGTCCTTTTCCACCCAGGCCATTCTATGATTCTGTTCATGGAAACATCTGTGGAAGTTTTGCCCATTTTCTTATTGTTTCTTGCTTGTGTTTAGTCTAATTGTTCGTTTCTTATCATGTCTTAGAGTCTCTGGATAGTTTCCTTGGAATGCACGTGTATATCGGATGGCAACATGGGAATTAGCATAGAGAAAGAAACAGACAAAGCAGGGAAGACATCTTTTTGTGTTCTTGACAACTCCTAGTCTGAGGCCTCTTTTGTAAGAGTAGAGAAACTCCTGACAGAGGAAGAACACTGAGAAATGCCAGGATTTTGGACAACTCTTGGGGTAGCATACGATCTCAACAGAACTGCTGTGAAGGAAATATGTGAGAGTGTGGGCTTGGAGCCTACTGCACTTCTACCTCTGTCTCATACCTTTAGTATTTTCTTTCTCCTCTTCCTTTTCTTTTCTGTCCACTGAGGTACCACGATACAGTACGACTCAACATCTCTTCTGTTCACCCATGGTAGAAGTCATGGTTACTGTTTCAGTGTGACTCGTGAAGGAACAGCCAGCATCTTACAATAATTTCTGTCGTGATACTGCTCGGTAAAGTCTTCCAGTGGGAAAGCAGGTCATAGAATCACAGAGTATCCTGGCTCCACACACAAACTACAGAAAGCTCAAACTCTGTGTCTAAAAGCATTGTCCAAATGCTTTAAGCCCGGCAGCATGGGGCTTTGCTCGCTGCCCTGGGGAGTGTGCTCCTGTGCCCACCCACCCTCTGGTAAAGAACTCTCCCTGATGCAGCTCCACGCTGTTTCTTGGTTCTGTTGCTGTAACCAGTGAAGAACTAATGAGAGTTACTTGTTTCTTTTGTTTCACTAAAATTACCTGGAAAAGATAGACAATTTTCCTAGGTGAAGATGAATACAATGTTACTTGAGTGTAGATCAGATGGGGAGAGGCTGAACAGCTTTGTACTCAGTGGGTTTGATGATGTGTGTTATGGGTATGAAGGTCTTGCATGCTCCACAGGCAATGCATGGGAAAAGTGTCGTTGGTATTGTATATAGGTATGAAAATGATAACCTGCTTACTAGATACAGTGTTTTTTAAATCTTTGAAATTTATGTATCTGCATTAGTTAAATTGAAGAAGCAAACAACCAGGCTGTACCACCTATTTGTGTGCTTCCCTGCACGTGTCAACTGTACAGCACTTTAGTATTTTCTTGTAATGCTCTTGACACCTGTCTGGTAATCTTTATACTTTTCCATTCCAATTACACTTACTATTTCCCTTTACACATACAATGCAAGAAGTGTCATACACCAGCAGGATAACTCAATTTGCTAGATCCCCAGTGTTCATGAGGCATTTCCAGTATGGTCTTTCAGTTGGTTGGGAGCATGCAGAAAGCTGTCCTCTTCCTGCTTAGTAGGATAAAACACTTTGCTGGGCCTGTTTAGCCTTGCATGCTGGTATTCTAAGTCAAGGGGGCTGGAAGTACCCTAGGTCCTTGAGGTTGCTGTCACTTAAAACAAGCGTACCAGCCTAAGGAAAAGGTTCTTTGTTACAGCTTTTAAAAAATTCCTGCATTCCTGAAAGTGAGTATTGATCACAATTCTTATATCAAAGAAATGTTACCATCAATGTTCTAACAAATGCATAATCGGGAAAGAAGAGCTCCTTTGCATTTTCTGTGCTCAAATAGAATGGGGAGTGCATCACCTGTTTCACATCACAGTTATGTCCAGAGTTATTTACTACACATTTTTCAAGTCATAGTTCTGTCCATTGGGCTTAAATATATCAATGACCACTGCCTGCATTATAAATTTTGCCACATCAAACAGATGATGGTTCACTTAAAGGTATTTATCAGACCACTGATCCTTATCGAATAGCTCTGATGGAAGACAAGCACAAGGAAGGTATCACAAGAGCCATCCCTGTGATTGAACAACAATGAGTGATGGTCACTTTACTGGTCAGAAATGTTGCCATCCTCTATCCGGTTTTAAGTGAATTCCTACAGCACCCAAAATTCTCATGTACTGTCTGCATAGTCTTCTTCTGCCCAAGTTTTTACTTTTGTTCCACTTCAGTTCTTACTTCTTAACTTCAGTCCTTGCACCTGTTCTGTTTACAGTCAATTGTTCTTTTAATGGAAATGCTAGAAATATTAGGGGAGAGGAGGCAGAACTCAAGAGACATGGAGGTGCCCCTGATGCTTGGCGTGAATTTGCCTGCCAGCAGTGTGGTAAATCAAAAATTGCTTTAATGTAGAGCAAATTATGGATAAAAAAATTTTAATTCATGCCTTTTATTTTATTAAAGATGTTAAGGTAGGGTAGAGGAAACTTGATAAGTTACTTGAGATGAGGTTTTTCACAACCCAAACAGAGATTTGTTTCTTTGGACAACATTTGTTTCTTGATTTCTTTTAATTTTTGAATATATAAATTTAAAATGTTTATTAAAACTATCTAAATTTATGCATCATTATTCCAGTGGGAGGAATGTGTCAGAACTTCATTGTTTTGATAGTAACTGCCATCTACTTTCTGACTCAAAATTCATTCATTGCTTCTTTATAGTTGCACTTTTGCTAATGTTGTCCATTAACATAATCCATTCTTTTACATCTCCTGAATTTATCTCTCGACGTATTCATAGAAAGCAGTCCTATTTTGGCTAGGGATTTTGCTTAACTGACTAATCCAAGATATTTAGTCTCCTTTTACAGAACGTGTTTATTGTTATTCACTGCTTCAAGCTTGAGTTCATCTTTCTTTACATGAGCCTGCAGTGTGATATTCAGTGTTCTTGCTGGGGCCTTGTAGAACTGTAGGCACTTGTTTCTGCTGGGACTGCTTTGATTCTTGCATCATAGGCCTACAGGCAACTTTTTCAAGTGTTCATACTGTTGATTCAGTTCTAATGCTACTCATGTTTGTGCTCTAATCATCATTACTGGAGGAATTGTTTGTATTAGTCACTGTATGTAAAATCTTGCTGTTGTCTACTGTTAATTTGCATGCCATTATCACTCAAAGTACCCACCTGAGATCATCCAGGTCTTTATGTATGATATTTCTACACGTGCTTTTCTACGCGCGATGTTACTTGGTGTTACCAGGACATTTCGTTAGCATCCTCTTGGTATGAAGATGAAGCTTTGATCAAAGTCTGATTCTGGAGGAGCTCCATTTGTAACTGTCTGACCTGATGGTTTTCTATTCCACACAACCCACTGTTATCTTTGTCATTTATGTATTTAGTTCATTTTGTATCTTAACTGATATGGCATGGTACTGAAAGCCCATACCCCACAAGGCATAGTCTCAAAAGTGCATATAGGCTTTCTCAATTTCCATTATTTAGAAAGCGAGCTGTCTCATCAAAGGATTTGATGCCATCTACCTCTGGTAAACTCATGTGGTATCTTTGCTGATGATCAGTTCTCTTCTTTGTCTTTGAATTTTGAAAGGAAGATTAATTATGTGCAGTAGCATGCTGGCTTTTGATCAGATTCATAGAACTGACATACTGCTTTTTTCTCCTTGGCAGCGTGTCTGCTGTTTTTTCCACTTGCAAGTTTATAGATTTATTAAAAAATCTTATCTGCTGGATCTTTGATCTAATGTGCCCATTCTTTCAGAACACTGGGATGAAGGTGATCCAAATACTGTTCAGTAAGTGCATTTTCAGCTCCATAGTCCTGCTTGCAGCTAAGTCATTTGTCCTATATTTTAACGAGCTTGCACAATATTGTTTTGCGTTTGGGTTGTTGTTAAAGCTATGCTCACAAAGTCACTGAATGGCTCAGTTTGGCTTCCTAAATGATTTTTGTCACTTGGCAGGATTAGAAATGTTTTTTTTTTTTTTTTTTTTTTTTTTTAAATCTCTAATGTTATAAGTAATGAAGAAGGGACTGGAAAAGAATACTAACAGTCTCAGTGTAGTGTCTGTAGTGCTCCCTCAGCAGGATTATTTTCACTGAATATCTTCTTTACACTTATGGAGAGGTTTGTGAGTGGAACTGTAAGCAGGATCAGGAGACTGACTTGACTATAAACTAGGTGGCTAAGAAAGACAGGAGGGAAAAAAATACCTTGATGTTATTTTTTCAGTCAGATTGTTTCATGTTTTATCTCTCCGCTTGGCTGTATAAATATTACCATTAGTGCTGTGGAATGATACTGCACCTTTCATCTGCACCCACTGCTAATGTCAGATTAAATTGGCCGTGTAACTGCAGCCTGGAGCGATCCCTCTGCTGCAAGTCGTGGTGCACTTTAGAGGCACCTGAGCCAGTGGCAAGTGGACTAATTCAGTTGTTTTGCTTCTCAGCAGTCTACTATGAGGATAGGGAGGATAGACTGTGCTCTCTTTTCATCACATCACTGGGAAGACGCAGGTGATAGCAGAGTGAAAACAGAAGAAAGTACCAGCTTAAATCTATGCAAGAAACCTTCTAGTGATTGTGGGTGCTAAGTATACTCATCAGGCATTTTTGAATAACATTAATGTCTTACCTAAGCAGGCAAAGGAAGGTATGGTATGGGCCATATGGTGCACAAACCCATATTGTCATTATTATTCCCAGCAGGAAATTTGAAGACAGAAGTACATGCTGATTCACAGTAATTTATTTTTTAGATCTCTTGGTCCAAAAATTTGGAATCTTCTGTGCTAATTCCTCCAGGTTCATTTTTACAGGAGAGTTAATACTGTATGCTGTTCCCACCATTTTGTCACGAACCAACTTCCTTGAGACACCCAAAATATAAAATCTATCGCTGTGCTTGGTTGGATGGGGCCAACCAAGAAATATTCTATTTTATGACTGGTTTGCCAGTCAGATGCATTAACTTCATGAATTTCATTGTACGTGTAAATGAAAGTAAAAATCTGTGAGCATTAGTAACCGATATGAAACCAACTATGAGTTTCGTGTGACAGCTCAGTGTGGTGACTTGTGCAATCAGTGACTTGCCACCCAAGGTTCCAAGTCTGTGACAGGCCTCTTTCTCTGTCTTCCAGGGAGGATACGTTTACCACTTCTGCCTTCAGTTTTTCAGTTACTATTAATTTCTGTCTTTGACAGAGAGGTCAGCTTTTGTATTCACAAGTCCATTTTTGATTGGGTAAATAGCAGTGGGAGCTTTGGATTATTGAGATTCAGAGCTGTCCTAGCATGTAAGACTACTCCATAAGACTTTTCCATTATGGCAGTAATGTGCCACCTCCTGCTGAAAATGCAAAGGGAAGAGCTTTCCCGTTCCGTAAGTTCAGTGACATGGAACTGTGCGTGGATTATAAAGCTCTTCAGAATGCAGAAGTGCATGCAATTAGAGATATACCGTGCATCAGAAAATATCCAGGAATACATTATGGCTTCAAAGTAGTTCTCGGAAACTGCTTCTAAATCACGTGGTGGAGTAGCATTGAAGAGACCAAAGCCTGCCTACTGTGGCTGTGAAAATAGAATAGAAAATGTAAATGATTCTTTCACTGTCGAAGTCAGTCTAATATTAGCCCTGCCAGTGACTGGCTGCTTGTCAGTTGGATGAAAGGAGGAGGTAGCTGCCAGCCAGGAGGATAAGACCAAGGCTTTTAAATACTGTTGTTTGGGAAATCTTATTAATGACTTCATGTAAGATCGATGTGCAGTAATTCTTTCAGGCAGTATCTTTTTAAAAGCCTTTAGCAATCTGTCATCCTCGCCTCCCTCCCCCCCCAGTTATAAAGCCACATTAGTCAGGAGAAATTGCACAGTCCTGGGAAGTTTCAAACTGCATCCGCTGATGCTGTCAGGAAAATGCTACTGTGCAGGAGCACAGGTGCGACTGCATTGACTGCTACTCTTCATCCTCGGCTCGGGTCATCCTGGAGGGACGAGTGGAACGAAACGGGGAGGTGGGCGAGATTCTGTCGGATGCGTGGGAACAGTACAGGAGAGAAAAATGGAATGCCCTCGTCCAGGAGACAAAGATCGCGCTGTCTGTAAGTGCTAGCTCAACTTTTCCAAGCCACGTTTTGAGAGAGAGGGAGAGATTTCAATACGGTTTATTTGGTTGGGAGCTTTGCCACCTGTTAAGCTCATCTGTTAGGCTTTGTAGATAAGCAAAATCTTTTTCAAACCGAGAATTCAGAGCTTGTTGTCTGTTTGGAGGTTGTTTGATGGTGTTCCTGGACCACTCAGCTTTGAAAAACATTTCTGTATTTTAAGAAGAGATCTTTAAACCCTTTATTTTGTGCAGTCACATTAAATGCTACTTTTAAGGTTATTCTGCTCCGTTAGCTGTGGTTGAAAGCTGGAGCAGGGGGTTTACTAGATAGTAAATTTTATCTTAATAAAGAATTTGGGGTGTGGGAAGACCCCATCTCTAATGGAGAAATCTCTAATGGAGAAATCCTGAGTCATTTAGTTCACGATGCATCAGCAAAAATAATTTGGGTGTGGCTTTCATATTCAGCTGCTGTTGTAACACAACCATGACAGCTAACAACATCTTATTTGTGATTACAAAAGTTTTTTCTCAGCATATGCATAAAATGCACATATTAAAGTGCAATGTTTGTGTTTGCTGCAATAGATTAAGGATATTTGAGAAAATATCAATTAAAAATCAGCTCTCTTCTGCAACTAAGAAATCCTCTATGATAACAGCCTTTCCATCATGTAGCAGTATACAGCATTGTGTGTTTGATTTTTTGTTAATATTTGACTTGCTTTTGGTATTTATTTTTGCTGTAGGCTTGGAGTTGTGAACAAGATGATTGGTTCTGATCTTTGGTTCAGTTTAGGAGCTGGGTTTTTTTCTAAGTCAGTGCTGTGTGGAGAGTGGCTTTAAAATAAAGCTTGGAAAAGAGGTAAAGAACAGAATCTTGGGATTAGATTGAGACTCAAGTGCTTTCAATGGCCAAGAATTACAGTTGTCATTAAACATAAGTATTTGAAATGTAAAATACATAGGCTGAGAGAGCTGTGAATAAGGAGGAAAGGGAATTTTTTTCTTGATTCTGGACATGAGAGCTAATATAAACCTACAGTATATTATGAATTTCTGTTAAAGTTGAATGTCTTTGCAGTGTGACATAGTAGTGCATTAGAAAAGTCATACAGAAATAAGCAGGAGTTTCTATTGTTCCTGTTGTTCCCAGAAAACCCAGCTTCTTAAAATCTGGGAAAGTTCATTCCTATTTCAGCCCATGAACCATATCAGACAAGCTGTTTCACTTACTAACCAGATTCTCCTTGTCTAGTCTGTTAGAAGTGCACGAAATAATAATGGCTTTTTGATTATTGGCTGTCCTGAAGCTGTTCTCCATTTCAAGAATGTGTTTTTGACAAGTAGCACAATAAAATGATGTTCTGGTTGTAAATGTAACACCTCTCTCTTGTATCTAGGTGATCTCAGAAAGCGAATTAGAAGACACAGCTTTGAAGAAACTTCAGAAATAAATACACCATATTGCTGAAAAACCCTATCTTGGTATCCTCACTTGCTTTAGATGGTGGGGGTCCAACTTGTTGGCTTGCCTGGGCCACACTGAGTGAAGAGTGATTGGCATGGGCTGTGTATAAGATTGATAATTCGTGTACTTATCATAGCAAAACTTCTTTTTAATCCACTATCAGTGTGTGGCGGGCGTGAGAGGCAGAGTTAGCCCTCATGCCCTTCCCACCACAGTGTTCAGTTGTTGCCTACACGGTCTGCACTCAAGCTACACACCATCAGTTTGTGAAAAACATCACTAAAAAAATCACGTAATAATGTTAAAGTTGATGGTATTTGGGGGACTCGTTACTGACTGTCCCAGGGCTGCGTGTGGCCTGTGGGCTCTGGGTTGGACATCTCTGGTTTAGATGGCATTTCCCATTAGTAACTGGTGCTATGATGATGATAGGCAGGCTGAATGATGACTGTGTCATTCTGATATAGGCAACTAGGAATGAGTAAATGAGACTGATATTCAAGCATGAGCAATACTAACTATTCCAATAGTATCCAGTTTGAGCTATTGAATGTGAAGTTAAAGATTGAAAATACATAGAAATAGATTCCTTTAGGATAATATGATTCTGTATTGATAGTAGAATGAGATTTTGTATTTTACATTTCCCATTCAAATCATCTACTGAAACATTGTTGCTATCCCTTTCCCTGACATTCTAACAGTTTTCTTTCAAGACTAACTTATATTTTTTTGTACTCCAGCCTGCCAATCATTGCAAGGATACATTTCTGTTATGTCCAGAATTTCTCAATCTGAAACTGTAGCACTTATAATACGTGGATAAGCATCAAAATCAACTGGGGGGTTGTTCATTTTAATTTTTATTTTTTAATATTGGACTGCTGAAAAAAGAATGCATGAATATTAAGAAAGAAAATTAGGAGGCAAAGAAGCAGATTCTGTAAATTCAAAGCTATGATTTATCAGGCGTCATACGTATTAGGATATTAAAGTATTGGTTTTTTAAGCTTCGTGAGGATTATGAGTATTAATTATAATGTTTCTGTTGCTAGTCTTGAAATGTAAGTATATACTGTAGCATATTTTAATGCTATCATATTGCAAGGAAATGCTTGCATAGTCTTTGACTGCATTGGTTGAAGAAATCCTCAGTGAGTTATACAGACTGCACAGCTTTGCAAGTGAGAGGCTTGTCAGTAACACTTAAAATCAGACAGTATCTAGGACATTAAATATAATGTCAATAAATAGTTTGTGTGTTTATGTTAGTGTAGGCTAACGCATGACGTAGGTGATATTTCTAATAAAAGAGAAGTTGTAAACCTCAAATTTTATTAATGAACAAGCTGTAAAGCTGAGTGGGCTATGCAAGAGAGCTCGTTTGTAATGGAAGTTCTTCATAATCTAATTTCACAGAGGCTTCAACCCACTTCTTAGTTCTTTCTGTACCCACATCTCATATACTATAATGAATTTAGAAAAAGGAAATAATGGTATTTTTTCTTAGAGCACAGGGCATAATTCTTCTTCATTTAAGTTAATAAAAAATGAGGTTTTACAGTGTGGACTGTAAATTTAACTAATAATCTCTTAGGAAAAATAGGAGAGAGGAAATAGGTGGCCAGAGGAGGTGTACTAGAAGAGGGTTGCCAAAGTCTAAGTTCTTCCTGAGAAACTCAGAGAACATTTGATGTTTACTTGAAGGAATATGTGATAAACATTCAAGTTAAATTTTAATCAATTATAATTTGCCAATTCGGTAATCAAAAAAGTCAAACTATAAGGGGAACGTTTAAAAAGCCTTTGAGAAGTTAATCAGAAGGATTTTACTTAAAACCTAGTAAGGTGCTGTATTCTACCTTGATTACAAGAACAGGTGACATCGTCATCACAACTACAGTCCAATGTTTCATTAACATTTGAAGAGGTGTTTGATTTGTTTTGTTTAGATTTTCATTTCTGTGCAGTAGAAATTACACTAACTAAGTTAACTGTGCAGTTTTAATGTAGTGTAAAAATAAGAGAGAAGAGCCAGGCATTCTTAGGTCTATGCAATAATTCACTTACTAAATATAGCATTCAGGATTTTAGCTGATTCTCTCTGGTTTTAGTGGACAGAGTCTCTCTCTGCGTGTCCCTTCCTCTGCCTTCTTTTATCCATTCCTGTGGGGAAATGGAACCAATCTAAACAGCTTTATGCTGTTTTTCTTGATCAGCTTTTAAGAAAATGATCTCATAGTGTATCATTCCCTCCTGTGCCTTGCACATTTAACTGACCTTACATAATCAGAATAAAAAAACTCTTTTTTTCATCTCCTGGAATGCTGACAGATTGCTTTCTTTGTACTGAATATTTGCTCTGTGGTGGTTTTGGATCATTAGCAAAAACATAGTTTGCATTTCCTTTAAGTTGGTTGGTGCTTGCTTGAATCCCTTGTAAGGATGAGCTATCAGCAGTGTGGCCTTTCTGCAGTGACCCAGAAGGAGAAGTAATTTTACCTTATTTCCACAACAGAGAGCTGTTAATATCACCAGCATCTCTAGCATTATTTGGTTAGCTGAATGGATTCTGTCTAGCCTTGCCCCTGCAGGGAAGAAAGCAGAACACACAAGATATGCCCAAAGACAGTGGGCAAACCCCTTGGTATATGTATTTTGACAGCTGTCCGTATTTAGGTGAGTATCAATAAAGAGAAGAATAGTCTCATGTCCTACTTGTGGCAGGTGTGATTGAGATGATTGTCGTCACTGAAGACAGCAAAAACATGGTTTTTTTTGCTTTTTTGGATTTGCAGATTACTGAGGTGAAATAGTCTTTAAACTTCTTGGTTTGTTTTCACGCCAAAACACAGTATTTGAGATGCAGTCTCACTAGCTGTGTACAAGGGCACTGTCACTTCCTAGTCTTGTTGGCCTTACTATTTCTGATGCAGGCCAGGATGCCGTTGGCCTTCTTGGCCACCTGGCCACACTGCTGGCTCGCGTTCAGCAGCTGTCAGCTAACACCCTCAGGCCCTTTTCTGCTGGGCACCCATACTGCTGTGGTTATGACCCACATGTAGCACTCAGCACCGAGCCTCATTGGATGCTGTGAGGCCAGACTGAACTCCATTCACTGTGATTGAGCCCAGCCATCAGCCAGATGAACTCACAGAACTGTACGTCTGTCCAAACCAGGAGAATATTGTGGGCAGCAATATGAAACATGTTACTAAAATTGAAGTATCCATAGTCTTTACCTCATCTAAGTGTCATAGAGGTAAATCAGGCTAGTCAGGCAGGACCTGTCCTTCATAAACCCATGCTGGCTTCACATCATTTGTTTGTCTTATCTATACTGAGTGATGGCATTCCAGATGACCTTCTCAATTACCTTGTCTGGTACCAAGGTCAGACCAATAGGCCTGTAATTCCTGGAGTTTTGTCTACACCCACTTGTCTAAACTTGGAACGCTTTTGCTGATTCTGTCTGAAATATCCATGCTACCCTAAGAGCCTCCAGTGTGTGCGGGTTTGAGTTGTTCAGGTGTGCTGGCAGTGTGCCGCCTGCTTTGTGTGGAGACCATTTCCAGAAGACATAGTTATGCATGTCCATCCCATTTGAAGTTTTGTCCTGAAGTTACTCGGGTAATTTAACATTGCCTTAAATAAAAGAAGTATTCTAGTCTATTATGTTTTCTTTTGCATTTTAATTAAGTAATTCTGGTGAAGAGGCATGTTGCACTTTTAGAGAAACATAGCTTCTTTCCTGCCAGTCTAGGATTGAATTGTTTAATTAGGGTTGTCTGCACTTGAAAAAGTACTTGATGGTGAAGAAAGGATCCTTGGAAAAATGACAGGAGGTGTCACACTAGAAAAATTCCCACAAGGAAGTGAGTCATTAATGTAGGGTAGTGCTTTGCAGCATCATTGTCATGGCTGAGGGGACTGCCTGCACCTGCACAGAGCTGTGAGCTGGTATGAATGTTTGAGTTTCAGGTTGAGTGGACTCTGAATCTGATGTGAGTAACTCAAGGGGAGTATGCAGAAGTGTGCATCTGCATGCTTTCAGTAGATAAGACTGGTCCAAATAGCACTTTGGTGATGGGTTAGAAATAGCCCTGCCAGTAACAAGTTCATTTATTAAGCTAGAATTGATGATTGCTTCAGTTTTTCTGTACAGCAAGCAGTCATTTGAGGTTTGCTCATGTTGGTTCTTGGTCATGGTAGAGACTATTTTCACAGCTTGTTTCTGCAGACCTCCGCAATTGTTTGCCAGTTACAGTGGAACTTTTACTTCTTACTGTTCTTTTTGTCTCCCTGATAGTAAGTTACAGTTCTTTAGATGTTTCCTGTTCTTCTTACGCAGTTCTTACCTGGTTGCAGATTACTGTGGGAAGTTGGTAAAGATTGAAAATGAATTTCTAAGCAACGAGACTGAGAAGTTTTCTTAAAGCGAAATCTCTTTACATCGACTGTGTAGAACTGGAGTCAATGTAAATTTACTCTTCATCAGATATGTAATAAATATTGCTGTACGAGTGAATGCTAGCAAATAACAGTTATTTAAATCTAGGTATCCAGTTAGGGGTAAAAAGAGAATGCAAAAGTCTGTATAGGTAAATATTTAAAAATGTAAAAGTCCATTCAGTGGTGATCAGAATCTCATGCTTACTCTAAAAGATTTCCACAAGGATTTTTCTTCAAGTAGTGGTTTTGCCAGCAACCTCAAGATCTTGATTTGGGTTGTTGTCTTTTTGTTTGTTTTATTGTAATTTTTTTTAATAACTGTGACACTCAGTTGCCAGAAGTGCCAGTGTTCTCAGAGAGAGCAGAAGCCATTTTCTAGATATATTTTTTCTCATTTGTGTAAAAGGCTCCTTAGGTCCCTAATCTGTACTGAGTTTTCATTTACTGAAGTTTGAAACGTGCTCTAGTTTTCAAGTTTGCTTCAGTAGAAGTAACACAAAATGTATTGATTCAGTTTTTATGAACTTCAGAGCACTTGATGACACTGTATTCTTGAGACACACAAGAATATTTTAAAATATATTGCCAAGTGTTTAGTTTATGTATTGATTACGTGTATGTTTTAAGCTAAAGAAACATCTGGTAACCTGGAAAAATATGGCTTTGAAAGAAGTTGGTTGGTTGTATGTTTCTCATCACACCGTATATTGACTTTTGCAACCTTTTTCACTGCAGTCAAGATAAAACTTGAAGGAGACTGAAAACAAAGGTTTGATTTATTTGTTCTTGCTGTGACACTGTGGGTTTTTTCCTGTTACATGCCTCATTGCTGACTGCATTGTTTAACTGTGCTTCATCATGTTATAGTCATATTTTATGGTCAATAGGAAATATCTTTTGCTCTTGGTTTTTGGTTTTGGTTTGTTTTTTTTTGGTTGGTTGGTATTCTCAAATTTTTCCTTTTATTTTTTTTTAACTCTTTCAGAATTCACCACTCTACGAGTATCTGCAGGATTTGGGACACACTGATTTTGAAGTATGTTCACCTGTGTCACAGAAGGCAAAGCAATGTGCAGTAGAGGAAGGCCAGAGAGAGAGGACTGTGCACACTGCCCAGAAAGTGAGTGTTCTCCTTTTTCTTAATATTTATCCTCCCAAAGAGAGCCACATTACTTCACAGGTAGGCATAATTAGAGAGGATAAAGATGGAATTCTTACTGTAATAATTAGAAAGAAAAGTTAGTAGTAACAGTTTTCATGTGTTGTCTGCAAATATGTTTAGGAATATCTGATCTGCCATTATATTTTGAGGTGTTCTTTGCTTTTATGTGAATTAGGGAAGAAAAATGCTTTGATAGTAAATTCTGTAAGGGTTGTAAATGACATTATTTATTGGATATTATTACTGTGGCTTGGATGATAATTCTATGAATAACACCTGCAATTTTCTGGAACAAAATGTTTATAAATCCCAACCCTTCTCAATCATTCAGTTCCTAAATGTCACTTCTTATGTAACAAAATACTAAGAAATACTAATAATACTAAGAAAGAGGATTTCTGGGAAGTAGAAATACCAGCGCCAATCTGAAGGAGAAAGTAGAACAGTGCTTAGGTTCTGGCAATTTTATAACAGTAACAGCTGACAAGGTCCATTGGCTAATAAGCTCAGACTTCTTATTTTTCTATTATTTTAAATAAAGGCTAATGAATTTTTATGATCATTTTTGTATTAAAAGTATTCTTGAGAATTAAGAGCTTGGAGAATACTGAAATACGGTAATGCTGAAAAATATAGCATTAATTTGGTCACTTAACACATACAATGGTCTACTCATTTCTTGTTTTCCTTGTTAAAAATAAATGTGATTTTACTCTTACTGATAGCATGTAGGCCATGTGGTTCAGCTGATGATCTCTAGTGCGGGTGAGTAAATTTCAGTCTTGAGGCAACCAATGTACAACTCTCTTTGCTGGTCCTAAAAAAGCAAGTACATAGAAAATTCCATAGTCAGACAATCTGCCTGACTATCCTCAAATCAGAGGTTCACAACCCTTTCCCTCTCTTTTGTAACCTCTGCTGCTTCCCTGCTCCACAATGTCACAATGTTCCACCTTTCTGATTAGCTGGCAGTGAACTAGGGAGCAGTGTGATACAAGTGGTCCTGAGCTCTCCAGAAGGTCTCCCTGCAGGATGTGGTGGATGGGGGGATCATATAGTGAATGAAGTGAGCTGATATTTCTCTTAGGCTTCTCTTTTTCTTTTTTTTCTTTTTTTTTTTGTTTTCCCAAATAGTTCTTAAGATGCTTCAAGGAATGAGTCGGGTAATAGTTGCAATTAGTTAGGCATTATTTCGGCATAAAACTTTCAGTTTTGAATGTGTCCTTCCTGTTCCTCCTTCATGTCAGATCCAGGCATTTTTATTTCAAGGTCTTTTAATCTGTTCTGCTCTGTGTGGGGTCTTAGGTAGGTAGGCTTCAGAAGTATGTGAATTGATATGGATATCACTGTTGTTTTTCTGATCTGGAGATGGTGCACGTTGTTACAAAAAATAAATGCAACTATGAAAGTCAGTACAGCAGTATGATTCTATGTTCATGTATGTGTCTTCCACTGAATTTAATGCGAAACTGCTATAGGGTTAAGAACCTTGAAAGTGTAATGATGTACTGATTTTAAAAGCCTCAAGGATTCTGTTGTTTGTTTTTTTTTCCCTTTGTTCCCCTTCAAATATTTTACTGCTTTGGGAGGAAGTCCTCTGGTATTACGTCAGCTGTAGAAGTAATTCATCATGGCTTGCTGGGCTACTTGAAAGCACAGGGCGTTTGAAAATGGATTGCACATTTCTTATGAATACCAGGATGACATTCATACTGTCTCATCTCAGTCTAGACAAGGATGCATGTGGGGAAAAAAGGAAGAAGCATTTGTGTAATTGGTAGTAATAAAATTTCGTAGGTTCTTCTAACTGTTGTTTCAGTAATTTGGGAACGTCTTTTGTAATCTAATGTCAGAAAGTCTGTTTTTGTGTCCCATTTTTGGCAGAATATTTCAAAAGGATTATATTAATTATATTATATTATATTATATATAATAATAAATATAATATATAATATATTATATTATATTAATATAAAAGGAAATATTTCAAAAAGACAGCTTGCCACATGTTTGAAGAAGTGCACCAAAATAAGGAGGATCTGGGCCTTTGTTAAAACTTCTCTGTGACATACAGGCAAATCATTTCAATTCCCATCCAATCATTTCCTCATTTTTAGATCGGACTATTATCACTTCCCTTCTCTCACTGTTTGCTGATGTAGTCTCCTGACATAAAATATCCGGGAAGCAAGTGGTTTCCAATCTCTGAATATGTACCTCCTCCTAATGTGAAATGATCTTAGCTGAGTCTTAAGTGTAGCATAAATAACATGAACACAGTAGGTGTTCCATGTCGAACAGTGCTTAGTACATGGATATTATTTTCTTACTATTGTGAAAAGCAAGTTTACAAATGGCTTCAGCTTTAAAAGATACTTCAGAGTTAAATCTGAAGAGTACAGATCAAGTGCATAAAAAATTAGAGTTTTGGCTTTCTTGGTTACTATAGTCCATCTGTCTTTCCTACGTTTTCTAAAAGATCTGAAACACCATGGCATCTGAAACAATACTCTTTTCTTTAAAAGGTGGTTTACTTTTTAGGGGGAGCATCCAATTCTGCTTTATTTCTCCATCTTCATCCCATTCTGCTAAATACAGGATTTGTTCTGAGTAGAAAAGGAGATAAATAATGTTCCTGAAGAGAAAAGTAAAATAATATTTTTTTTCTAGGTTGTCAGCTGACTGATAGTGGAAAACTCATGTTAGAAAGGTTGCAGTGTTGCTATGTCTTTGAGTTGGGATTGTTTACTCCTCTTGTAAGGCAAGGGGGATCCCTGTTCAGGTACAATCTTGTGACATACAACAGTATTTTGGCAAGGTAAAGATCTAGTGTGGGATCTTAGTAGATTGAAAAATCAAATCTAGGAGATAAAGATGTTCCTAGTGACTGATAATAACGTTGCTGTGTTTTGCTTTCCTACAAAGCAGAGCATGTCGTTCAGGCTTAGTGAGAGATAAAGGCATGAGCTGAATTTGAAGTGCACCTTAATTAGTTTTTTGGTTGGTTAGTTTTGTTTTGTTTCCTTAATCAGGTCGTGGTCTTAATGAACACTGAAATGAAAAGCTGTAAAGGTACTTCAAGACTGCTCTGAGGGCTGAGGGAGTATAGAGAAGTGGTTTAGCATGGTAATTACAGTTGCAGTGCTTCTGGCTGTACCAATCTCAGGAGAAAGTTACAGCCAAAGTTCTGATCTCATGGTCACTTGATATTCAGAAGCACTGTTTAAAGGAAGCTTTAGATTTGTTTTCTGGAATTAAGCCAGAATTATTTGTGCAATTCTGCTTGATCTTTAAGGAATATGCTTCTTTCATATACATTTTTCCTTTCTCATTCATTTTCCTAGACTGCTGTGCATATCTGAGTGTCTTGACTGATTTTACTCTCACCTCATCGTGACTCCAATGTGACAGTTATCACTAGAACAACGCAGGTACTAGAGGCAGATATTTAGCATTCTGTTGAGGCCATCCACCGAAATTGGAAAGGAGGGACAGGTCCTTGCCTTTGCCTATGGCTTCCACCTACGTAAGGCCAGCTTGGAGTAGCTGGAAGGTTTTACTGCTTAGTATTAGCATCTTTCTGAGCTGCACAGAATTGGAAGGCGCCAATATTAATGATGGTGTTTCAGATACTGCTGAATTGCCATTTCAAGTTCACCCTGCATAGAAGAGAAATATTTCTAAGAATTTTATTTTAGGTTCAAAATGAGTGATCCTAAAATGTTTGATGTTCTATGCTACTTTTTAAATGTTAGACAGTGGATATCTTCAATTCTGCCAATTAAGCTTAGTAATAAACTTAATAATAATTACTTATTAAGCTTATTAAGAGAATTCATTTGGCTGACTTGCTTTCTGATGTTGTAAGAATGATGCTCCAGAAGCACTAGCAACATGACCTGACTTGTGTGTTGATGCAAGTTGTTTTACTTGTCAGTAACACTCCCAGTGGGAATGCAAACTGTGAGACACTGTTCCAGGGAACTGAATAATTGAATGTGTTACTGCACTCTACTGGGTCACAGCCCAAGACAGTGGGTTGTCTTGTTTTGTTTTCAAGCACTGACATGCCTGTTGAGCATTTATGCAAGCTCATATTTTTATTTTTAATCTAAAACATGGTGAGTAAACCAAACAGTTATGTAACACATCAGTCTGGTTTTTTCAGTAATTCTACAGTCTAGTTTAGTCAGCTGGTAGCAGTTTAAAACTGTCTTTGGTGTAGATTTAAATGCTTATGATAAAAACAGAAGAACTTCACAAGGCCAAGCAGTGGAAAAGCTCCCAGAGACATCATTTTAAATGAACAGCTCCTTTTGCACTTCACTGTTCTAAGGCAAGTACTTCAGAACAAAGTATTTGCCTGCTGCTCAGATGTAGAACAAAGTATTTGCTCTTCAAATGTAGGGCAATGGCTTTATTTATTTCATCTCAATTTTCCACAAATTGTCGTCAGATAATTTTGTTTTGTTTGCACCACTTCACAAGAAATTCTACCTTGGAATATCATCTACTGCTCCAGTTTGTGACAGCCTTCTCCCCCTCAGACACATGGCAGTGCCTTTGAGTAGCCTTGAATTCTTTACCCATACAGCAAAAGTGATTCTTGCTTTTACCAGCATTACTGATAGTGATGATAGAAAATAGTAGGAGAACAGGCCTTTTTATTTTTTGATAGCTTGACTGTGTTGCACTTGAAATTCTGTAACATGCTTGAAATCCCCATCTGCATTTATTCTGTAGGCTAAGTTGTGTGAATTGCAGGGGTAGCCCCTCTTAAAAAGACTTGGTGATAGCTGTGTTCTGGAAAGAAGCATCATTACAAAAACCATATTGTCAGTTTGTCTATCTACTGGTCTACTAATTCTTTTTGACACAGGTCTGTAGTTCTAACTGTATACTGAAAAGTGCATGCAAGAAAAACTTGAGTTAGGTTACCTAAGTGGATGCAAAAGTGAGTTAATTCTAAAATTGTTCTGTGAATCATAAAGGCTGCAGAGCGACAATTTCTGGTGTTGTTCAAAGCCATTCTGCTCTGCATCAAAACTTCTGTCAGTGCCTTTCAGAGGTCTGTTAAATTGATTGGTGTGTCTGTTCTAGCTCCCATCACTGGCCTTATGTGAAAAAAAATCCCAGGCTGAGCACAGCTCAGTACTTTTGTTGTTTAATTTTATTCTTCCATTTCCAGCCTTAGAGTTGGAAGCATGATGGAGAAGTTTGTGTTCCTCTTATCACACAGCTGCTTCAGGGGCATTTCTGTAGTTTGCATTGGAACAGGGTTGTACCTGGAATCCTGAAATCAGAGGCTCAGTGTCGGTTCCTCTGGGCAAGTGACCTTTCAGCTGTTTTTACACTTCTCTGTCTTAAAAAAGAGAGAGAGAAGAAAAGGAAGAAGCTGATTTAATGCAGATACCGTTTATAGACTAAGCTCTTATGATTTTTTTTATTGTTGATGTGAGGTTGTTGTTTTTTTGTTTGTTTGTTGTTTTTTAAATAGTATGGCACAAAATGTAGGTGCTTCAAAATTCACATTTTTTTGCCCTACATTTCACTTGATTGTACTGTGTGTCAGCAGTTTGAAAATTAACATGTAGGGCCTCAGAATTCATGAAATAGTCATAGGTAAATACTTTGAAGAATATTTCCTGACAGCTCAGTCTGAGGAAAGTAGATGTAGAATGTCTGTCCAAAACTTTGCCTTTTTCATGACAAGTCTGGAGAGGGAAGCAGAGTCATGCATCTATTTAATTATGATATCTTCATGTATTTTAGGAAGAGGAAGATGTGCGAGTAAAATGCGTGGTGATAGAGAGCAGGTTCCCCTAATTAGTGTTGCTCAAAGTTACATTTACAGCTCAGATGAAGCTGTGTATTTAGATTTCATGGGAGAGGCAACATGGGGAGAAAAGTAGCTGATAGCAAGTGCTGGTGTGACAGGGAGTTTCTGAGACAATTCCTGTTAAAATCATGCATCCCTGCTTCTATTCACTCATCTTTCAGTATCTTGTCCTCCAAGGAGAAGTTCCTCTCCCAGTCTTCTACTTTTCTTCAGTTTCAGTCAGCCATTTAACACTGCTGCTTTTTTTTATCCTGAAGAAGAGAGAAAATCTTTGTACTGAGTTGTTGCCAATCTGAGATAAAACAAATTCTAGCTGTATTTATTTTTAACAGTACAGCATAACAATTCATTACATTCAGTAGGTGGGGTGAATGAAGCTTTATTTCACAGTCTTGTGTACAGGCAAACTGAGCGGAAGCAGATGTTCCCGTACTCTGAAGTTAGGCCAAATAGACTAAGGGAAACTTCCTTGCAGGTACACGTGTCTGATTTAACAAGAAAAGAAATAAAGAAATTGTCTGTCTGTTATTTCTTCCTTTTTTTTGTTTTTAATGGAAAGAATTTCTGTTCCTTTCAGCAAAGCATCCTGTCAAAACTAGTTGAGTTCTTCAGAAGTTGGTTTCCCTTTCCACAATATAAGAAAAACGATGACATACTGCACCGATTGGTAAGAGATTTTTTTTTCCTTTTTTATAATTTCCTTTCCTAATCCACAGGTCTTCCCCTCCTTTGTACCTTCTCTTCCAAGCACCATCTTTAGTTTCTCTTGTTGTTTTTTTTCCTTCTAGCAGTTTTACTTAATCTTTAGGCAGTATTGTTTCAGGTTCTCAGAGGTAGGATGCATGGCAAATTGGGCACACGCACAGTGAAGGAAAACTGCCAGCAGCCAGCTTGAATATATTCACAGTGTGGAAGAGACGGTCAGAAATTAAATAAATTCTTGAAAGCTGAAAGGAATTAATTCACATTAAAACTTCCCCAGTCAGTGGAAGACACTGCAAAAACACTGAGAAAGTCCCTAAGTTGCATTCAGTGACTTGCAGACACAGCTCAAGATGAAAGCCTGTAGAGCATCATTTAGTGCCGCTTTGCCCTCGTGCAGGTTCTTAGCTCAAGCGTAGCAGTGTGCTTGGGCAGCTCCACCACTCTTGGTCCTGTCCTGGGCTATATGTTCTGTTTCTGCTCTATTCTCCGTAGTGCTTTTGCATTTGGGAAAAGCAAAGTAAACTAATGCACCACCATGGAAATGTTGCGTTAGACTGTTATGGAATCTAACAGTTAGAAGTTTGTTTTTTCTACTGTGATACAAGAATGAATCACTATATATAACTTAGGGGAAAAAAAAATGTTGAGTTATATGAGAAGTTAGGAGTTTCCATTTCTGAGAGTTCATCCGATTGCTATCACTTCTCCCTCATTTGAAGAGGCAAGATCTCTGCAACATCTTGTTACTGACTGTCCTTTTAATTCCCTTCCTCCTTGTTTCTCTTTGAATTAGAACTTTTGGCTTCACAGCTTTTCTAACCTTAATTTCTTGAGACAGAAATGCAACCAAAGAATATGGAAAACGTTTCTTCTGCTGCCTGCTACTTCAGGGTAACAAAATGACACAGGATATTTTGGAGGATGGCAGTTTCCTCTTGAACACAGCCCTAAAACTGTGTTTTCCAGTAAATGTAGAGTGCAGGTAGTCTGGATTAATATCAGTGTAAAGAATTTAACTAGCTAGTTTGTGAAAGCCTGGGTTTTCATAAATAATCTAATTTGGTCAGTGCAGACTTCAAAAGCTTCTGTAATGTGAAATGTCAAACTTCTGTAAACTTCTGTTAACTTTTGCTCTCCTTTCCTTCCTGTAATCTAGCTAGATTAAAAAATGCCACATGTTCAGTTTTGGTGCTTATACAACATTCTCAATTGGAAGGGTTCTGTATTGATAGTTTGGTGCAATATTTTGGCATAATTTCACGTGTTTTCTAGATATCACTACTGTCTAGATCTGATCACAAGTCAATGTGAAACACCCTGCTAGGCTGAAGTAATAGATAGAAAATTAGTTTTTAAATTTAAGCATGTTTAGAAAAGTGAGGTAGCCACTACTGGTATACCTGAAATATTTCTGAATCTTCAGGAAGAGTTAGCTGCCAGTGAAGTGTAGGGTGTCTGGATGTTTTCCTTGTTATCATAACTTAATTTTAAGAGTTTACATGTTCTTTACTAACATTTGTTTTTTCTTCTGCTTATTTGTGGTAAGGATGTTGGATTTCGATTTGACACGCTCCGTACCATCCTGCAACAGGAAGTTCTGCTGCAGGAGGATGTGGAACTGATTGAGTTCCTTGACCCGAGTATCCTGTCTGCAGGGCAGTGTAAGCAACAGGAAAATGGACAGCTTCCAACACTACGCTCCCTAGCAACTCCTAATATTTGGTATTGTACAGAGAATATCTGTTACAGTGTTCACTCTTAAACAACAACAAACAAATATTATATGTTCTTTACATAAAATGCAGCAATATAGTAGCTTTTTTTTTCTCAGATCTTTGAGTCTTTGGTCCGCTACTACTCACATACATGGATAAACATATTTTTGCCTCAGGCATTTTATTGAAAGAACAGTTTTAATCTGAGATAGATACATAAGCGTAAGTCAGTACTTATAAACCCTAACAGATGCCATGAATAAGAACTTAACATAGATGAATTAATGAATTCCGAAAGCCATATGGGGGTGATTCTGATAAATTAGGCATAGTTGTGTGGACTGAATTGGAAAGTGTCTTTTTCACTCTGGCCTTTGTAAAGTATGTTAATTGTAAGGGTGAGCAATTTTTGTGGGTTTAGAATACTAGAAGAACAGACAAAAGAGCATTTAAATGCAATGCACTGAAATTAGAAAAGGCCGGTGAAATTCATCCTGGAATACTGAAGGAGCTAGCTGCAACTGTCTAAACAAATACCACCTGTGTTTGAAAAATAGTAGGAATGCTGGATGGTCTGACTGACACAGGCCAATGTATATTCTCTTACATATGTTAGGATAGTAAGTGGAATGATTCTAAGTTCTCAGCCAGTTAGAAAAGGAAGAAAAATGTTTATGATATATTATGTCATAATTGATATTCTTTCTCAAACAAGAACTTTCAAACCACCGTTTCTGCAATGTTTTGTTCCTGGTCCTAACACTATTCATGGTTTCTTAAACTGTTCAAATGACAAAGAACACTGAAAAATTTGGAAATATTGCTTACTTTACATATGACACCACTTTTTAAGTGTTTTGGTAGATAGGAGTTCAAAAATATCTTGACAAATTGCAGAAATATCTTGAAATCAGTGGAATAGTCAATAAAGACAAGTGCATAATACTTCCATTGGGAATGAAAAATCAAATTAACAGCACAAAGCTGAACAGTTGAGTAGACAGTACTACTTCAGAGAAGGATCTTCATGTTGTTGCAGAGCATAAACTGAAAAAGTCAGTAAATGGAAAAATCTTATGTCACAATCCTTGTTATATACAACACACAGGGGATTTAACTTTTTCTCCCTGGTTCCCTCTGTGTATCAACTCTGAGTTTTGATGCCATTTTTTGTGAGGTACAGTTAATTAGAAAAAGTACAGAACAAGAAAAATAGTGAGTATAGAAAATGCATTCTTTTGAAAACAGTTGAGGTAGGAAAGATTGTTTGTTCCAGCATGGAGAAAACTTAGGTGGGATGAAACAGTCTTATGGGTAGTAGAAGGTAGTAAGGAAGCGATGTCAGCGTGCGCAGAAAAGCAAAAGATTCGAAGAAAAATAATTTGATTAATTTCCAAAATATTTAGGCTGAATTTGGGGGAAATCTTTGGAACTCTGAGGATGCTTAGCAGTAGGGATAACTACATGGGTGTATTTGGCATCGTCTTTATCTTCCTGGGGCTGTCAGTGATGATTTAGATAACCAGAAACTGAAAATCAAGAAGCTGGTCTCTTTGACCACTTCCAGTCTTTCATTTTGGAGATTTTTGGGGCAGATTTTTATTATTATTTTTTTTTCAAATATGCTAATGGAGTTACAGACTGTGTGTCCCTTCTTTAAAGTTATTTATGTACCTGTAATATTTTAACTGTACTTTTGCTGAAACCTGTCACTAGAGCGAAAGAGTTAAAGAGTTAGCTTTTGTAAAGCTAATTGAAAAATGACTACAGAACTGTCCAGCAACTAGAAAATCCAACACCATGTTTGATTTTAGGGGGGAGAAAAATGATATTTTTATTTGAAAAACTTCAAAGATTGAAGTTTTTTATGTAGGTTGAAACCCATATCCTGTCCATCTCTGTGAAGACTGATACAATTTTACAAAATTGCAGCTATAATACTAGATGTGAAACATCGTGTATTTTTTAGGAGTTACTTGTTGTAGATTTCTTTCTAGATGAAAATAACAGCCTTACCAGGTTTTGGAATTGTTCTTTAGAAATAACTGAACTGAGATACTAATTACTCTGTCAGTTTTTTTTTTTTTTTTTTTTTTAAAGGATTTTCAGAGGCTGCCAAATAATCTAAAATAATTATTCTATCTATGCCATGAGAATGTGCTCAAAACTAGTTGTCTGTTGGTATCCGAGTTAAATGAGTCAAATGGCAAAAAATAAAGCTAGTGTTACATGAGAGTTTCGTTTCCAAAAAAACCCATACCCTTTCCTAATGTATTTTTGAACCAGGAAATACAGATATTCCCATTCCTACCCATTCCAGCTTCTAATGCTGAGTAGTCAGATTGGGGTTTGGCTTTGTGGGTTTTGTTTTGTTTTAAGGTCATATGAAATAAAGTGGCCATTTGAAGTGGTACGTCTTTCTTCTACTTTTGCCATTAAATAGCTGGATAAATGTTTCTTTAGAGTATTCCTAAGGTGTAATATCATGTGAATGTACATTTAATCTGCAGCTTAGTGTTTTCTGGTGTTTACTTTTTTTACTTAAGAATCTATATGTACTTCCTGCTTGTTTGACCTCAGGAGTCTGTGGTTGAAACGACTTTCTGTATTTGCAGGGATATCTCACTCTTGCTTGCCTTTGTAAGTGCCCTGCTTATGCTTCCTTCATGGTGGAAGGAGTCATCGTGGCTACCGTGGGGACTGGTTCTGCTTGTGTATGCAGTCTTTCGAGTGTGGGCCACATGGAGGACAGCCAAGCTACAAATGTCCCTGCAAAAATACTGTACCCAGCTGGAAGAAACAGTAGCAAATAGTCGAGCTTTTACTAATCTTGTGAGGAAAGCTCTACGGCTCATTCAAGAGACTGAAGTAATTTCCAGAGGATTTACCCTGTGAGTCTACGTTTCACTTTAATGCACAGATCCGTTTAAGCCAGATGTGTTCTGACATAGTCTTGTTGCACTGTCTCCCATAACAAATGGACCTGCTGAAAACCATGCTGCTTAAAGTTTTGCATTTATGTAAAATAGTATAATTATCATAGCTGTGTTCACCAACATGAGAGTATGAATCCTAACAAGACATTGCTAAAACTATGCATCCTGAAGGAGCATTAAGTATCAAATATCTACTGGACACCTACATTTTTGAAAATCTCCTGGAGTCTTAGCAATGAAATACTGAAGAAAAAAAAAAAGGACTTAGAACCAATTCTGGAGGGTTATTTAGGTTGTTTCTTTCACAGTTTTTTGTACTTCATATTATCAAATCCATGTAACCAAACTGATCTGCAAGTAATCATTCATGTTTTAGAAAACATGATTACTTCAAAATTATCAAATAATAGTCTAAAGTAATGAGAGCAAAGCAATTAGCAAGACCTATTCAGAGGTCAGTTTCAACCTCAAAAAAATTACAATCCCCTTTTCTTTTCTTGCATGCAATTGTTAAGATGTTTAGAATTTTAAGTTATTTATTCCTGGATTTGCCTCTTGTCCACTTAAGGTATTAAAGTTTCTCTAGTTATTTAGCTCTCTGGGTAATGTTTAACTCCTTGGATAACTTTACTCTTATTATGTTGAAGGACATTAGAACATATTCAGTGTGTGCAAGACCCACTCTCATTGCCATGTATGTCCTTTTCCCTTGTAGCAGCCTATTTCTAGACATATGCCTGAGTCAGTTTGACTTGAAGTTTAAGAAGACAGGAAATGCCCGCAAGTAAATGCTGCTGACTTCGTTCTAAAACCAATAAAAAGTTCCCCTCTGTGCACCAGAAATGGTTAATGCCAGACCAACTACTCAACTTGTAGGCTTTTGTTATGTGCAAGCTTTAAACTGTGGAGTTTGCATTTTGAATTAATTTTTGAATTTGAGACACCTTCAATATACTTAGCTTTATTCTCCCTTAGGAATGCATAAACATGTCTTCAGTCTGCCTAGCTGTGTTTTTTGTTTGTTGTGTTTTCTGAAGAAGTGTATAGTTAAGCAATAGACAGTCTTATCTTTGCAGATGAGTTCTTAAAAGAAATTATTATTAGGGCTTGTCCAAATAACAGATGAGAAAAAAAGTTTGGGTTTTTTCCTAAGTTTAAGCAAATGAACTTGTGGTCAGTGTTAAAAATTGCTCGTTTCTTGTTTTTTTACTACATATCTTAGATAACAGATTAACAAAAAACAGACTGATCTTTAAGCTAGTGCTTGATCTCATAGCCCCTTTACTTAAAATTCTGGCAAGCTTTTCAAAAGCTTTTATAGTGTGGATGGAGTGGGAGAATGCCATGTCAGCATTCTCATCAGAATCATCATCATTCATACTCAGTATGAAGAGGTTGGTGTCATACAGGTTTTGGGTTGGTTTAGTCTGGAGGAAGTTTGAACTCAAGTGTTCCCTCCAGCACCCACATAAGTAAGAGATGCTGCTGCAGAGCACGGTGAACTTCTTTGCTTGATATTATGCTTTATGTGTGATCCAAAAATCTAGCTACCCCCTCTCGGTGAATTTTGATACAGTGAATCTTAGAGGAACTAAGTTTGATATGTTCTCCAGTAGTAACCTCGTCAAAGTCTTAATGCTTGTTCAGGGAGAGTCTTGAGGCAATAGGAATGGTTGCACCTGGAAAGTTAATGAGTATCTTGTATTGTTTTATATCTTTAAAGGAATGGGATTTTAACTGGGTAGTGCAGCATCCTGTTGCATGATACATATGCTGCTCTTTGAATATTCTGCAAGCCTAGAGTAGTCTGGGCTGTGAATTCATTTTGTTATGAATGAAAGACAATGAAGCTGACAAATAATACCGAGTCCAGGTTTTGACTGATTGTCTTAGCATAGTTCTGCAAGCCCAGATCCTGGTGTTTGCCCAGGTCCTATGTTTTTTTCTCTCTATCGCACCATCCATTGCTATGTTCTCATATGGCTAATTTATGTAAACTTATGGCTTTGCTTTATTCTACTCTCCATGTCCCCTTGTTAATTAATATTTGGCTGTTTCTGAAAGTGTTAAATTATCCTTGATGAGATTTGGGTCAGTTCTCCATTGGTTCATCGGTTTACTACTGCATGGCAGTGACTGCTATATGATCAATTGATTCAAACGTTGTTTTGCCTTTGTTCCAATCCCACCTAAAAAAAAAACAAAACAAAAACAAAACAACAAAAAAAAAAACACAGTATGCACTTAAGGGGGAAAAAAAAAAAAAAAGCCAAACCAGTAAGGACCATGTCATGTGTTTCTTATATAATCTGCTCTTCAAAGACCATTGAATATTCTGATTTCAGTGTGGCCTTCAGAAGAGTTTAATACCTCTGTTAGCTTTTAAGCCTGCACAGTAAGAGCTCTGTGATGCAGAGATGCTCAAGATCTTGCCAATGTAATTTGGATTTCAGAACTTATGTAGCCAGTGTAGGAAAGGGCTCTGCTCAGGCAGAACAGCAGTATTTCTGTCTCTGTTGCAATTAGACAAATTAATCTTGATCACGAGTTGCAGCCTGGATTTTCTCCTGGCTAATGAAAGTATGTTCATTATTAAATCATAAAATGAAAACTGTACAGATATGCAATGAAAGGCTGCAGCAATAAAAAGCAAGTAGTTATTTCCTTGTCTGTCATTGATACAATTAACTTTATTCCAAAGTACTACCTCGATATAGTTTCAACTAGAATCAAACTCTGTGAGTGTATGTTGTTGTGTATAGCATCTCTGTAGAAGTTGCTTTTGTGTCAGAGTACAAGAATAGTTTTTTATTCAAGTGTATATGCAGGTTTGTTAAAGGAGAGATTCTATTTAAAACTTGATTTGTGAAACTAATGGAGAAATAAATAATAGTTCTTTACAAGGAAAATGGATATGGAGCAGCAGAGAAGAGGAAATTCACTTTTAACCTTTTTTAAAATTTTTTGCTGCTTGTGGCTGATATCCAAAGCTGATAATATATTGTAAGTTCAATTAAAGTATGTGGAAGATAAATGAAAACCTAGGAAGCTAGGGATATGGCATGTCTGTCGCATGGAAATTTATAGCAAGTTATATTAACATTACTGCAATGAAGAATTATTCCATTAAAAAAAAAAAAAAAAAACCAACACTGAAACAAGCCTCCCAAGAAGCAATACAAATTGTTTTGTTGAATACTGGCAGTACTGCACGTACTGCATGAGTTGTGCAGAAGCTGAAAATGCTTGCATTGCTGTAGCAGAACATAAATTTCTTTCTCTTTTTTACTAGAGAATAATTTTTACTAGCAGAATAGCTTTACTCTCCTCTTTGGTCCTGCTTCTGACAGTTCACCCAAGGCTGTTCACCCACACTACGAAGTGATATAAGAGTTTGTCCTTGAACACTTCTAATTTTATCTTCACAAGTTAGGAAAATATTAGAGATTGGCACGTCCTGACTTAAAGATACAAGGTGAACTCATCACTTTACTCTGAATAAGGTGAGAGCAGAAGCAGGCTTCCAATCCCCTACCAGTTGGTCAGTCTTGATGCCCGCACCACGTCCATTCCCAATCTGGTTCTAGTGAACACAGTGCAGGAGAGGATGAACTGTGCACTTAGGCCATTTTCAGTGTTGTAGCTACAGGTTTGGCATCAGATTGTGTCTTAAGACTCTGTAGATATATTTAACATTTACTCAGTTCATAATCCAATTTATTTCCAGATTAGACAATTTCTTACTCTTCTAAAGACATTTTGAAGTATAGTCTAATAAGCAAATGGTGTCTTTTAAATTGTGTATTCATCTGAACATATGAATACCAAAATATATTTTCAAATATACTTTATACAGTTGTGTACATTTCATGTTACTTGTCTGACTTCCATGAAACACTGCTGTCATTCACTGCATGATTGACAAAAGCTGTCTCACCACTTAAGTAACATTTCTTTTGACCTAGAGAGTAATTCTGCAGGGGGGTTGACCAAAAATAGTGTTTTGCATGAAAAACAATAAATAGTAGCACATTCTTCTATAAAAAGTATTTAAAGAGCAAATTTGCATGCAAAGAGGAAAATGTTAAATATCTGCAAACTTACAGTGGGCTTAAGGTAGTTTTATGGCAGATAATGTTGTGGCCTGCCTACATTTACTATGTTCTTTTGGAACACTTTGGAGAAGACAAATGTCCTCAGGAATTTTACTGTGGCTCAGGTAGGACTGGAATCAAGCTGCCTACAGAGGAATCCTAGCTGCTTAACTAAATGTTTGACTGAATAATTCACTGATGTGAATTTCTTGTGTGTGTGGGGGGGGGGGGGGAATAGTTACTGAGCAAAAAAATAGTGATAGAAAAAGAAAACTTATGTATTATCTTTTAAAAATACTTTAGGACATCTGTACAGTTGTATCACATTTTACTTTTCAAGTTTGCTTGACAGGGTCAGTGCCGCTTGCCCACTTAATAAAGCTGGACAGCATCCTAGTCAGCATCTTATTGGCCTCCGGAAAGCCGTCTACCGGTCTGTCAGAGCCAACTTCCGAGCTTCAAGACTGGCTACTCTGTACATGCTGAAAAAATATCCTTTTTGTAAAAACCCATCCGTTCAGATATGCTATTAATATGGTTTTCTACCTGCATTCATGCTGACGTTCAGAGCTGGCATGACTAGAAGCATATGGTATCTAATTAGATATATAATTATATATCTAAACAAAAACTGAAGAAAATGTAGCATAGTAAATTTTGTCTTATGCTTGATTTGGAGCAGTCAACATATTTCTTTTTTTTGCACTTTGCAGTGTGAGATAAGATCCTGTGTGTTGAAAACATTGCCCCAGGTATTGATGGCCATGCCTTTGATGTATGTACTTTTTTATGATTATTCCCAAGCCATCTTTTTTCCTCACACACAAAAAAAAATCAAAACACCTCTCCTCAGAACAATATGCCCTTTCACTCCTTGTCTCCATGTTCAAAGATAAGTTGATTTCCTGTTTCAGACAAGCTGGGTGAACTCTTATTACATTAATTAGCCAAAAGAGTGAGGATTTTCTATTCCAAATCAAACTGTGACACTTGCTTCACAAAATCAAATCTGAATCATCATCCTGTATCTTCTCAGCAATTCAAGATTTTTGTTGTACTCTGTAGGAAGTGGCAATGTAGAGAATTTCAGACTGTATTGGAGTAAAAACAAAAACAAAAAACAGGTACGTTTCTGATATGAAAAACATTTGTGTCTGTCTTTGAAAGATTTTTAAAATGGAGGTTCAAATATACCATGTTATCATGCAGATACCTTAGTAGTAATGCCAGCTGAAATGAATGGTCAAAAATAGGTTGGAACTGTATGTCTGTAAATCCTTGGTGACCAAATAGAGAAGCATTATATAGAAGCATTCCATATGCAGAATGTAGTGGAATGTAGTAGAACAGGTGTTTTGGTTTTTGTTTGGCTTGATTATTTGGTTTTTTTGGCTGTTTTGCTTTTTGATTTTTTTTTTTTTGCATTTTTGCTTGAAATATCTTCCAGTAGAAATTCAACGTGTGAAATGCATCTTAGTCTCCAAGACAATAGCATTTGAATCTTCCTACTTAATATAAGAATCAAGGCTTAGTGAAGGTAATGGTAATGTGTATCTCAAATGAGTAAGTGGGAGATCTGACTAATGAAGTTGTTACAGAGAATTAAAAAGCTTCATTCACAGCTTTACAGTTTAAATACAGATATGCAATACAGATCACTTAAACCTGACACGTTATCATTACTCACTTCAGTAAGACAAGAAGCTTGCCAGTGTTTGCTTGTGGTTGGTATGCCACTTTCTAAGAGTGAATTGAATAAATTAATATCTTCCTAATTACAATTTGTTCCCATGTAAAATAGAAAAACATACTATGATGCTGTAGCTTAAATTAAGTGTTTTTGTTAAACTCAGTGGACCAGTAATATTTCACAAGAGGGATTCTCTACGTTTCATGTGAAGTGACAGTTATTTACTTGCAGAAACTACTCAGCATTTTCTCATGTCATCCTTACTCTGATTTGTTCATGCCAACAAGAGTGCATTGTTCACAGTTGTAGAAGAAAAAGCCATAGAGGAGAAAAGAGTATTTCTCCTTAAGCCTGAAAAATGAGGGTGTAGTGGAATACAATATCCTTATTTTAGCTTAAGCTAAAAGTTGGGTTGGGTTTGCAGGATATGATGCAGATTTGTCACTACTAGTGTAGGAAACCTCTGCACTGCACTACACTGAGTTGTGTAGTAATTTAGAGGTGATCAGGCACTGGCACAGGCTCCCCAGGGCACCAAGCTGCCAGAATTCAAGGAACATTTGGACAGTGCTCTCAGTCATAGGTTTAATTTTGGTGTGGTTCTGTCCGGAGCCAGGAGTTGGATTTGATGATCCTTGTAGGTCCCTTTCCACTTGGGATATTCTGATTATTATATTTTTAAATTTAATGTTCTTTCATTATGATGAAGTGGATGATAAAATACATTCTATGTATTTAAGATGCGTTGAGTTCAGGAAAATTTGCTCTTATTACATCTAGTTAAATTTTGTTCCTTCTCCTTTGAAAAAGAAATTTAGTTAATCACGAAATGTTAAAAAAAAAAAACACTTTTTTGCTTAGGAAAGACAGCTAATACAAGAAAACCTTAAGCTGAAGGTAAATAAATAAGTAGATGTACTCTCTTTGGGCTCTAAAAGCCTACATCAGAAGTTTGCTTCTGGAATATCTAAGTAAAGATTTTTGTTGTTGACCAGCTGTCACAGTCGTCACATGCTTTGTTCATCCAGCAGGTTCCAGAATTTTATGAGACAACAGAGCATCTTGGATTTATTAGGAATTCTATGAGGCCTTGTTAGATCTTTAGATGGGAAAGAACTTCTGAAGAGCAAAGTACTACTATTAAATTGTTACATATGTGGGTGCATTAGTCCTTTTGCTTTTTTATAAGTATCATCATCCTCCAAGCGGAGACTAGATATTCACTGTACATATATTTTATTCTGGATTTGACAGTTTATTATTTAGTATCTTTGCCTTCTCTTGCTCTAAGCTAATAAGGAATGTAAGTTAAATATGAGAAAAGTATTTTTGCAAAAGCAGGAGTGTTTAAATAAGGTACGCTTATTTACTCTACTTGCATCTCTTTAGTTAATTTCACAATGTGAAAAAAAAAAAAAGACATGCTTTAGATCAAAGAGCACTGAGGAAATGTCAGTACATTTTTAACAAAAATTATTGGAAGAGGGCATGGCAGGAGACAGTGGGAGTTTAATGGGAATCCCTAGCTGAGACGCACTGTGTGTAAGTGGCTCATTTGGTCAAACCATCTGCTTAAGAGATTCCCTGTAATTTTTTAATAGATTTAAAAATCCACATGTTCAAACTGTTTTTCTTGCTGTTGCAGAAAAAGATTAACACAGACTGTGGTTAGTCTCTAAGATAACAGGTCCTGAAGATTTTGACCTGTTTTTTTCAGTCTCTGGTGGAGTTAATGTCCCTGTGCTCCATCTGCTGGACACACTTTCAGGTTAATTTAGACTAGCTGACCCCACTGACACTGTGTTTATGTGAAGCAGCAGATGCTGTGTTACTGAGTCATTTGCATTGCAGATTTTCATCTGCATTCATGCTTCTGGAGAGCACTTCACAGGCATCTTTCTTCCTGTCTTTGAGGAGAAATTAGTGAGAAATATATTTGTTCAGAGCCTGAGCACTTAGTATTGATGTTTCCTGAGCCACAGAAATTTCCCTTTGTGCAGTGTGCTCCCACTCAAACAAAGAACACTTTCTTGAGCATTATTGCAAATACAATCCTAAGAGAATGTAGAGGGTGGAAAATTTGGGAGTGAGAGTGAGTAGAACTTGTGGCTTCCCCAGAAAACGTATTAGCTGGATAAGAGAGAAGTACTTCTAATGGCCTTTACTTGACCAGAGAGGTGAAAACATTCAGTTTGTAAATCAAAACATCAGTCTTTTCTCTGATCTCTGTTGAGGCTGACATGAGCTATTTATTGGGAATTTACTGATTGAGGATAATTTCCTCGCTTGAAAGGAATGCTGAGATTTTGCATCAATCTGATTGTATTTGTTTCTTTCTAGGTGGTTGCATTTAGACATGGAAGTTTATTTGGTGTTCTATCTCTCATCCTTCTATGAGCTTGTAAAACTGTACTGTGAAGAAAGACGGAAAGTTCAATTAAACAGGATTTAGATTCAACTAAACAGATTGGATGCCATTTTGTTAGGTGTTTTTTTGCCTTATGTGTTTAATGCAAAAGTACTTTGTTAGCCTCCTTAACTCTGGCTAAACCTACCCTCTGAACTCTGAGAGCGACAACGTGACCAGCTACATCTGTGTAGTCCCTTTTAAGGACCTGGGACTGGGACTGAGTGAAGAGCAGGTATCTGAGGAGGAGGCACACAATCTCACGGATGGCTTCAGCTTGCCTGCACTCAAGGTAATCGCTCTTAGAAAGACACACGTGCATGCAGGCTCGGCATGAGAATCCCTTTCGGTTGTTGTGGTGCATACAGCTGATGGTCTTCTCTAAACAAAGACAACTGCTCATTTCATTTGAAGTGGAAGTTCCTAAGAAGTTAAGTTGTGGGTTTGCTTCTTCCCAGTTTGCCTAACCTCTTCTGTGCCATATAAAATGTTGTGACTCGTGTCTTACAGCTCTTTAGTGGCATTCATCGAATTTCTCACTTTGGCTGAAGAAAGGAGTTAAGTCAGCTTTCTCCTGAAGTACAATGTTTCTTTGTTGAAGTAGAGTGCAATTAGGCTTCTGTTTCAAGATTGGTTGCAGGCCAATGCAGTAACTTTTAAGTGGATGTAGAAATTATAGCCTAATGTTATAAAGGAAAAATTGTCTTTGCTGCCTCTAGAATTTTGGCAGCTCTTTTTGAGCTGTAGGCTATTTGAAGATCATAGCAAATAATGAGACTGCCTGATGAGAATATGAAAATTGAGGTCTCTGACAGACTTTTGAACATAATTGCATATAATGCACTTCATTGGAGCATTAATGGTCATCTGAGGTTCACTAGATCTGAACCCACATGGTCAGAGATATCCTTCAAAAATACTCCGTGGATTTTCTTATTATTTCAGTGTTTCTGTGGTAGGCTGAGGAATGTTTCTGCACTCTGTATCTGCACCTTTATTTTGGAGGCTGGCTGTGTTCCAGGTACACGGAGCTAACCTCACTCTGTTTTGCAGGTTCTCTTTCAGCTATGGGTAGGGCAGAGTTCGGAGTTCTTCAGGAGACTGGTACTGCTCCTCTCCCCAGCCAATGCATCCCCCAAGCCCTTGATCTCCCCTGAACGGTTGCCTCATCATATCTTGTGTGATGTGACTCAAGGCCTACCTCATACACATGCTGCCTGCTTAGAGGAGCTCAAGAGAAGCTACGAGTTTTATCGGTACTTTGAAACTCAGCATCAGTCAGGTTTTGAACGACCGACCAGAACAAAACAGAAGTCAAGAGAGTTGAACAGCCTTCAAACAGCAGTACGCAGTCTGCAGCTTCATCTCAAGGCACTGCTGAATGAGTAAGTTTACACATGAATTAAGAGACTATGCCTGTGGGAAGAAGGCTTCAGACTGGAGTTCTTTGGGTTGTCAGTTTACTTTATCCCAAATTAGAAACTAAAAAGGCAGATACAGTCACTTTAAGTACATCATGCCTGTCCTGTTCCTAATTGATTTTACTAAGGTGTCTGTTTCCAAGGTAACAGCTCTACTTTAAAGTAAAGTAGTAAAGATGTTTTTTGACGGTATAATTATCTGAAGAATGCTTCAGAGATTCTGTTTCCCTATTTACATTCTCACACTCTTCCCATTGCTGTGTCTGAACTCTCAGCTGTCATCTAAGTACATCTTTATGTAGAATGAGGTCAAAGACTCCTGGTTCAATGGGGAATCCAGTGTTATTTCCTGATTATTCTTCTGATATCTAGTGAAAATTCAAAGCTAAGCAGTACTTTAATTTCTATCTTTGCTTTTGTCTAACCCTTCAAAAAAAAAATCTGAAAATGTACTTACTATCCCTTGACTTTTTAACATCCCAAATGCTTTATAAGAAAGTTCAGCTCATAGTAACTATAGTAAATATTTATAAAATGTCATCACTGGCTGGTGAAGTAACAGAAACTATCTATTCCTTTAATCTTACATGTAAGAATTGCTATGAGTGAACGGTGTATCTCAATGTGGATAAATGGATCTTACTTTTCAAAATGTGTGGCATTATTGAGGAGATGGCCAAACTAGATCTTTACAAGCTAAAGAGAATAACAGGATATTAAATAGCTGAAGAAACTGTGAAGACAAATATTTATTTGTGTTTATTTCTGTTCGTTTTATTAGGGTAATAATTCTTGAGGATGAACTTGAAAAACTTGTTAGCACTAAGGAGACACCTGAATTAACAACAGAAGCGCACCAGGTTCTGGAACAAAAACTAAAGTTTATTCAGCCTCATATGCAGGCAAGCAACAGCTGCTGGGAAGAAGCCATTTCTCAGGTGGAGAAAATGGGTGGAAGAAACCCAAATAAAAAAGGTAAATATGAGAGGTTAATTTAGCAACTAAAGGGATGTGCTTTAGAGTTGGAATGGATCAAAAACTGCATTCAGCCTTTATTTTCTGAATTTCAGCTTAAAGAGATTTAACAACCTTACTCTTTGAAAAGCTATCTATTTGTCAGACTTCGTCATTGAGATGGCCTTAAAGCTTTTGTTTCAGGACAAAAAAAATATGAAAAATAAAATGCTAACTTAGTCTATTAGGTATGTGGATTTATGTGGTACATTTGCATTTCCAAGTGTAGCCCAGTAGTGGATTTTTCCCTGTAATTGGTGAGCAGCATGTGAAGTGGTGGGATTTTGATGAAATATCTCTGAGGTTTTTCTTTTATCTATTGCATAAATATTAGATAGGTAATTGAAATGACAATTACCTTGTCATGAAAATTTCTTGATAATGACATTTCCTGAAACATTTTAAATTGATGTATTGAGTTTATAACACCTGCTTACCTGCTCTCTCAGGTATAGTGAGCTGATCTCCTTTGTGTTTAAAAGTGATGTGAACAGCACATGCCAAAGTTTTGCCTTAGTGAGCTCTACTGTCCATGCTGTTATCTTTGTGATTTACATTTAGCTTAAGTGATTGAAGTGAGCTGAAACTCTCTTGACATGGAGTTGAACATAAAATTTCTGATCGTGTTTCCAGGAACTTTTTTACCAGCCTAGGAAGGCACAGCCCAGCATCTGAGTAATGCTGGTAGTAATGGAGACTATATTAGGAAAATTATTATCTGGGATATGTATCAGCAAGTTACCTACAGAAATCCCAGTTTGTAGTGAGCTAGGCTCTTAATTATGTATGGGTGGGGTATCCAGTAGGTGGATGAGTACTGCTGTGGTCCAAGAGATGCCCAGGCTGACATTGTTCGTGTTCGCATTAGAACTGGGAGCACTGGTGAATCCTGTGTCTACAGGCTCCACGCAGGTCCAGACATGGCATAACAAACTTGCTGTTATTAATACATATTATGAGGCAAAATCATTAAAGAGCCTTCACTTTCAGTTTTGTCCAGTGACTTGCCTGATGGGAATGTGTGTGGTTTGAATCTCTATTTTGTAACAAGTTTACTGAATCACTCCCCAGAAACTACTTTTAAATTATGATTAAATTATGTTATTTTTATCTGACTACATTTGAATGTCCTAATGTATTTCTGAGCAGTTCAGCTTCTGTGAGTTGAACTTTTCAAGCTGAGCATGAAATCATCTCATTACAGAATCACAGAATTGTAGAGGTTTCAAGGGACCTCAGGAGATCGAGTCCAACCCCTCTGCTAACTTGTAATCTCTTTGTACTCATCTTAACAGCTCATCTGTCAGTCATGATTATGTGAATTAATTATGTGAATTACATGTGGGGCTTTTTTTCAGTACTTCCTTAAAACTCTCTGAAAGAAGATACCTTCCTGCTGAAATAATATAACAGCTGAGCACATCTTTATTTTGTCTTTATTCACCATTATGTAAAATCAAATGAATTTTTTGAAAAAAGCTGTAGTTAAAAGCCTAACAATACAACTTTGTGTCAAAGTGGTTGAATAGTGCTTTTGGTGCAGTAGATGTTTAGTTCAACTAACCAAAGAAAAGCTGTGGAGATATATCATCAATTATGAACAGTGATGAAGAGGGAGTTGTTGTTAATGGTTTAGACCAAGTTTTGAGAGGAAATATTTCATAACTTAAAAGCTGTATATATTAAATATTTTCAGCAATAACTTTCAATTGTGCTTAGTATTACAAAGTCACTCCTTTTTACTCCATCTGTAAATGCAAAGCATATCCAGTGTTTAAATTTACTTTTTCTTGAGTTTGATACTTACTGGAATGCTTTTGCTGAATTATTCACTGGGAGCATCCAGCCACTAAAGAACTGCTTTGAACTGTGCTCTGTCCTAGTTGTGGCACCCTAGGCAGCGGCATAGCACGTATTTTTCAAAGCGGTTTTCATAGAATCATAGGATGGTTTGGGTTGGAAAGGACCCTTATGATCACCTAGTTCCAACCCCCCTGCTATAGGCAGGAACACCTCCCTCTAGACCAGGTTGCTCAAAGCCCCATCCAGCCTGACCTTGAATGGTTCCAGGGAGGGGGGGCATTCACAGTCTTTGTGGGCAATCTGTTCCAGTGTCTCACCACCCTCGTAGCAAAGAATTTCTTCTTGATGTGTAGTCCAAATCTACCCTCTTCCCATTTAAAACCATTTCCCCTCATCCTGTCTCTATGCGCCCTCATAAGAAGTTTCTCCTCAGCTTTTCTGTAGGCTCCCTTCAGGTACTGGAAGGCTACTATAAGACCCCCCAGGGCCTTCTCCAGGCTGAAGAGCCCCAACTCTCTCTGCCTGTCCCTGTGGGGGAGGTGCTCCAGCATTCTGATGATCTTTGTAGTCTTCCTCTGGACCCACTCTTCAACTGCTCAGTGCCCTTCTCATGTTAGGGGAATTGGACATAATACTCCAGATGGGGTCACACAAGTACAGTAGAGGGGCAGAATCACCTCCCTCAACCCGCTGGTCATGCTTCTCTTGATGCAACCCAGGAAATGGTTGGCTTTCTGGGCTGTGAGCACACGTTGTCAGCTCATGTTGAGTCTTTCATCAACTAACACCCCCAAATCCTTTTCCTCGGGCTTCTCTCAAGCCATTCTCTGCCTAACCTGCCGTATCTGTGCTTGGGATTGCCCCGACTCAGGTGCAGGCCTTGCACTGGTCCCTGTTGAACTTCACAAGGTTGACATGGACATTGAACCTGTCCAGGTCCCTCTGGATGACATCCCTTCCCTCTAGCATGTCAGCTGCACCACTCAGCTTGGTGTCATCTGCAAACTTGCTGAAGGTGCACTCAATCCCGCTGTCCATGTTGCCTACAAAGATGTTACATAGCGCCGATCCGTGAGGAATACCACTCATTACCAGTCTCTTGTTTCAGGAAATGTCACTTGGACATTGAGCCATTGACCACAATTCTCTGGGTGCAACCATCCAGTTCCTTACCCAGTGAGTGGTCCATCCATCAAATCCATTTTTCTTCAATTTGGTGACCTGGAGATTGTGCAGGACAGGGTCCATGTTTTGCACGTCTTTGTTTTCTCTTTAAGCATCCAGATCTTAATTGCATACTTACTGCTTCAAGTTTTGCATGTCAAAGCAGATTTATTGCAAATATATTAAAAAGCTCAGTTTGTTAAATCAAAAACCTTTAGGTCAACCAAATGAACATTCAAATACTCCCGTAGGACCACAGTACCCTGCTGCAAGCTCCTGGCCTTGCAGTCCTTTGATCCACCAGAGAGGAGCTAAAGCCACAGCAGCGTTAGTGAAAACATTGAATTTGTGCTCTTGAAGCGTCTCCTTAGCAACGTTATCACCCCAAACAGATGGCAAATAGAGCAGCCTGTACATATCAGTGCAGCTGTTTTGTTCTTCTAATTCAGGAAACCAAGCTTTTCATTGATAAATTCCTTATTACACTTCCAAATTTGTTTTCATACCTTCAGCAGCATATTTTTTTAAAATGTTTTTATTCCAAGATGCAATTGTGCAGTGAACATCAGTTTTGCACTTGTGCCAGGTTTCACTTCATGCTTTACCTTTCTTTTAAATTATCATTTTGCATTTAAATACATCTGGAACATCAAATCTTTAACTCAACCCAAGCGAACAGGGAATCACATGTTTTTCCTTGTTTGCAAAAGCAGGTAACTGAGCATCATTAGAGTCATTGTCAGTGTGAACTGCCTATCTTAAGAATACTATGTCTGTGTATTCAGATAGATTAAAAATTGAAAATAAAGGTGAATGGGGTTTGTTAAGTTTGTCTTGCCCATTTCTCTTCTCAGTGGCAAATTTGTATTTTTGCGATATGTAAATGTTGTTTACCTGCTCTTAGAACATCTGCATAGAGATATTTTACGCTATTTCCAGGCATCTGTTCCAGCACTTACATTTCATTTACCAGTAGAATGCTATTTCTGATATTCAGTATAAATAGCTTTTGCTGCAATTAAAAAAAAAAAAAAAAAAAAGTGCTTTTGACCACCCACAATGGAAATCCATTTCCTCCTTATAGCCTTCTCTTACATTTTTTAAGGAGGCTAATAACATTTCTGTCTTCTCCACGTAACCACATATCCTTTGGATTTTCTATTACGGCTGTACTTTATTTAGCCCTCTGACCATTTCCATTGTTTTTCCTCTGGACACCCTTTAGCTGGTCTGCAGTATCTTTGAATGGAGGAATCCCAGCCTGAGCACTATGTTCCATCCACAGCCTGATCAGTGCCAAGCAGAGCAGAAAAGTAATTTCCTGTGTCTAACAATCTGTGCTGCTGTTTATATGTAGTCTGGCTTCTTTCTTACAGCAGGGTATAATTGACTGGTCTCCTCAGATCCTTTTCTCAGTGGTGCTGCCCAGTCAATCAACATATATTTATGCAGTTGGCTATTCAAAAGCGCAGAATGTCACAGCTGCTGTCACTGAACTGCTGTATCTGAAGTCCAATTCTTCCTGGGGCATCTCTGATTTTCCGTTAGTTTTTTGGTTTTTTTTTTAATTCTACTTTTCAGTGTCCTTGCAGATTATCACAATGTCAGGAGATCTAATGAGCTTAAATACTTTTTTTTTTTTTTCATCCAATGGAAATATTGAAGAGCATTGGACTTGGGACAAATCCTCACTAAATGAATTGTTCCTGTCTAAAAGTGGTAACTATACTGTTTATGCAAGAAAGCATTTGATGCACCAGATAGCAACTTCTTCTAGCCTGTGTCATAACACATGACTGAGTCAAAAATATCACTGAACACTCAGAATTCTTTTTTTTTTTTCTTCATCCCTTTTTTTCCTTTCCCCTGAAGGCAAGCTTGAAGCTTCCTGTGATAACCTACAGCATACTTCAGTACCTTTAATACAGCCTACTGTGTACATAGAAGACAGAGATCCCATCCCTGAAGAACAGGTAAAAAAAGTAGGATCAATCAAATTAAAAATTGGGCTTGGTTACTTTTTCAGTTGCTTGTGCAGTGACCTTCTTGTCTTGTCAAAGCAAGCCAGGTTGGTATCGGGAGCTATTTCATAAGGGGACTTGTAAAAGAAAGGAAAAAAAATGATATATTTTCCTTCTGCTGTGTTTCATGGGAAGGTATTCCCCATTCTTGGGGAATACTTGTAGATGAAAGTAAGTCTTAGGTGGCTGCAGTGATGTTAACTTTGCATTGAGTGGAATTAAGAATGTCAGATGCACTGGCTCTGCTCAAACTAGGCTCCATCCTTCCACTGTGGTTGACTTGCATTGAGATCACTTGATCATGCATTAGCTTCTAGAATAGGGTCTACACTGAAAGTGAAAAATGTAAAATATTTCTTTTCTTTATTCAGGAATTGGAAGCCTATGTTGATTATTCTGATATGGACAATGAATATAATAGGGAAGCTTTTGACTGCTTTTCCCAGGAAGAGAGAGAGAGACAAAAACGAGAGAGAGAGGAATCTAAAAGGGTGTTACAAGAATTGAAATCTGTACTGGGATTTAAAGCTTCAGAAGCAGAAAGGCAGAAATGGAAACAACTCCTATTCAGTGACCATGGTAAGCATTGCTTTTGAAAATTACTCCCTTTCTCAGAAAGAGTAAATGTCCATTTACCATCAAGTTTCTGACTGCCATAGAATTTAAATAGTGCTCAAAGATGGCAGTGTCTTTGACAATACTGTGTGACTTCATTTTTTTTATTCCATCTCTTTAAATTTTTATAGCAATCATTTGGCTCCAAACAAGAATATTGAGCCAAAGTATTAAGTACACAAACTATGAAGCATGGCATAAAGAGGACTGTCAGGCTATAATCCTTGCAAAATACACTGACTCTCTTTCATTGCTTTCTCATAAATATGAATTTTAATCGGGGTTCATAAATATTTTTTGGAATTTAAAGAAACTGTCAGAATTTATCACAGACAAACAAAAATTGAGAGATTAAAGTGAAGAAATAATTAAAGATTCATAACAAACTAAGACAGGCTTTTGTTTCTGTGAGAGAGGAAGCACACAGAATGTATTTTGCAAAAAAAAAAAACAAAAAAGCCTAAGAGGGAGGAGTTCTTTCAAACTTACCTTTACTAATTCTGGGGACTGCTTGTAGCTGTAGCCACTTAAACCTGAAAGCAAGAGTATGAAAATTTACTTTGCCTCAGCAAGACAATCTCAGTTTCTCTGAGTCTGGATACAGCTTGACTGCTTCTGCTGCTTGAGCTGTTTGATTTATTATCTTTAATATAATGAGTGAGTGTTTTATATAACGAGGGAGTGATTTGTATTTTCTTCTTTCCTTTCGTATTCCCATTTTCATTCCTTCCTCTTCAGGATGGGTTAGGAGGAGCCCTCTGAAAATTGTCATACTCTAGCTTAAGAAAAACAACCCTCAAGTTTGGCAGCATATTCAGAATCCAAGGATTCTACCTCTGCAGTTTTTGCCAGAAAAAAACCAGCCATCGATTGCATCTCTCAATAATGTAGTGGAAACACACAGTAACAGACCATACGTATTTATGAGACGGTTTCTATTGATATCAAACCCACAAAAATACCTGAGCATCACAACTTTTTTTTGTTATGTCCACTTAGCTATAACTATGGTAAAGACAACCTCCCAGCTGTTGGTATTGGCTGCTCTTCTCTTCTAGATGAGTTAAAAAGCAAAGATATCAAATTGCATCAGAGACTACTCGAGTAGGATTTCTGTATTATCCTTCTGATGTTAGATGGGATACCACACAACTTCCCAGAGGAAGCAGAAGGGAGAAATCCTACCCTCACTTCAAGTCTTCATGAATATAGTGACTGTTACAGAAAGACTTCTTTGTCAAGAAAGCTTGCGTAGGAAATTTCCTTACCTAAGCTAGCAGCTGATGCCTATCCACATTAGTATCTCTTTAGGTCATTTGTGGTTATAGCTTTGTAGAAATCAATGGACTGGCTTAGCTGAACAGCTGTAACAGCTGCAGGAGGAGTCAGCTAACTCCTGTAATCTTGAGTAACCATTCCATTGTAAGCATTTGTGGCTCATGCTAGTTCCTTTCCTTTTCGCATAGAGATATTACTTTTTTTTTTTTTTTAGGATTAGAAAGTCTATAATGGGAAGTGAAGAAAGTGTCATTTCTTTCATCTGCTCAGGACTTATCACAGATTCCTTCTAAACAGTACAAAAGTTGAATATATGAGGATGGTTTATAAAAATAATTAATATGGTCTCCTTTTAGCTCTGAAACTAATATGCAATTGTTTTGGGGTGAAAAAAAAAGACCCTGAGAGATGCTGAGGCTTTAATCAAGGCATGTAGCAAGCCATTTAATAAGGATTTTGGTTCACTGATGGGAGAGGCTGGTTTCCACATAAAAGAGGTCAGCTTCCAGCACATTGATATGCCCAAAGAGCACAACACATGGTCAGCTACTCAGTAATTGAAATGAGTCTGGTCCAGCTCCTTCAGTATATGAATTTTTAAAACAAACAATAGAATACAAATTCTAATCTATAGCCTTTGCGTGCTAGTGAAAGTAATTATCCATGTGACAATTGTAGTGATACGCCTACCTCCAACTAGCTAAAATAAATGTGACTGCAATAGGATGCAATGGAAAAATCCTAATACCATACGTTTTGTTTCCCATGAAAAGTTTCCTTATTTCCCAGAGTTATTTTCATCTCTGCTTACAGGGGTAAAGTCAGAATGGAATTAGAAAGGGAAATGCTACTTGGGAATCTGCTGTTGCCGCTCATTTATGTTCGTGCTGCTACTCTAATGGAGCTACTGCAGTTTAGGGAATCTGTTACTTGGAAATGGACATTGTATCGTTTATCTTAAAAAAGAGAGACATCTGTTCTTCAAGAAGTGATTGTACCAAGTTATACTAACCCTTAACACTGGGAGGAGAGACTTCCTGGCAAGCATCCCGTTGCTGGCAATGGGACTCGCTGCTGCTACTAACTTCAAGAGAGGCTAAATTAAACCACACTTAATTTGTGAGGACATCTTACCTGGCTGTATGAATACGTGTTGTGTTTGTATGTTGTGATGTGAGATCAGACATTGCGTGTAAGGACTTTTTTTCTGTACCAGCTGTCTTTATTGGATTAGGTGAACCGTTGTCTAAAACAAAGACAGTTCAAATCTGTATCCAGTGCAGAAGTTTTACCTGTTTTTTACTTGATCATGGAATGCATCATCCACATTCGATTCCATTGTTAAAAATCAGTTTTCTGCCATCTTTCTGTATCAAACATTTTAGAACTTAGTTCTAAGGAGCAGTTATCACATTTCATTTCACCTCTGTGGCTAGAAAACACCAATTTGTTTTAGGTTTTCTTTGATTTTTTTTTCATTGTTGTTGTTGGTTGTCGTTGTTGTTTTTTGGTTTGGTTTGGTTTTTAATCCATTTTGACACTTCCAATCTTGCATCTTTTCAGACACAATTATTATTTGTACATAGCAGCTTGCTTTCAGTTATCAATTCATTTTTTCCCCTTTTTAAGCTGCAGTGAAACCCTTGTCTCCTGTAGAGTCATTGAAGCTCCTAAATAGTTTGGAATCACACATGAATTCAAATACAGAAAAGCAGGACTGCAGCCAAAGTTGTGATAAATCTGAAGAAAGCGACTCTAATTCAGAAGTGAATGCTGCTGATAAAAGCAGGACAGAATATTTGTATGAAGGTCCTGAGATGGAGAGAAACAAAGACAGTCCTACTGAAGAAGGTGTTTCTACAGAGGCTGAAGAGACAGTGTGCTATCAGTATGAAGGGGATGTTGAAGATCTCAAGCCAAGTGATACGGATAGAGTTTCACAGCCTCCCTCTGTGGATGCACTGCATTCAAAAATTAAGCAGAGGCTGGCTCAGCTTCACATATCAACAGATTTTAACTTCACATCCGGTCTGGCTGCACAAGCTGCTGCCAGGTCTTTCTCTTTTACTACAATGCAGGAACAGACTTTTGGAGATGATGATGAGGATGAAGAGGAGGAGAAGGAGGAAGGGAAGGAGCAAGAACATGAAGACCTGATGGAAGATTTTAGGTATGAAGGTGGTGGCTCTGAGAGTGAAGGAGAAGTACAAGCCTGATCTGAACTTTTAAAAACCAACAACAGACAATTTGGTAGGAAAAAAGAAAAACAAAAAAACTAACGTGGGGGTCTGAAGTTAAAAATGCTGAATGGAGAAAAAGAAAAATAAAATTAAAAAAAAAAAAATTGGGAGACCTAAATGTAATATGTCTTGTTCCCTAAGTCTGAGACACTAAATGGGACTTCTGAGTATGTGGAAAATTTGCAGGTAAGACAACTTCAAGCTGCAACCACTAAGCAGTCGGCTGTTGCCTTTTTAAGATCTTAGTGATGAGTTTTGGAATTACCTTCGTGTTTTCTGGTTTATTTATTTATATCATGAAGTGCTGTTGTTGTTTTTCTAAAAAGAATGAAAAACAATGTATTGAATTACATCAGACTGTCTTCTGCTTTCTGATTTTGTTGTCTTGAAATCAAACGTTAGTTCCAATAGAAAAAAAAACAAAACAGGGCATTTGTTTTGGAAGAATCTGAACTGTTCCCTGTGATCTTCCTCCACCACTGCTCGTGTCCACAGTGAGTTGGCTGAGCCACCGTAGACACTGGTGAATCTGTGGCTTGTGATGCTCCTGGCTAAAACAGAGTCTTAAGTAAAAACTTGAAAGGTCTTGTATTTTATGTGTCCTGGGGCATGGGAATGAAATGCATGAAGTTGGTCGTACTTCATGTTAAGGTTTATATAGAATTTTATGAAAGGTTAATAAATGATTCATAAATGTTGTAATTCATGTTAGAGAAATGTGTAGCACGCGTTAGGGAGGGTTTTGAGCTAATCAATATAAGGTACTATAGACGAGTAGAAGCAATTTGTTGGGTTGATAATAGGTGAGAATTAAATAGCTATTTAGTAAAGCTATTACTCCTTTGTTAACCTTTTATAAATTGAGCCTTAATATGTTTGATTTGTATATTACTGTTTGTCCAGAAGCATCGGACAACTTATACAGTATTTTCCTTAAATGATGTATTTGCTTTTCCCTGATGTTCTTTCATTTTTCTCTTAGAGAACGACTGTAATCTCTGTGATTAAGATCCATGATAGAACAAGAATTACCTGTTTTCTAAGGTCTATCTTATAATTTAGTTGACATCTAAGCATCGCTGTCCACTTACATGTTGTGCTAAGGGATGTGGTTTAGTGGAGAGGTATTGGTGGTACATGGATGGTTGGACTTGGATGATCTTGGAGGTCTTTTCCAGCCTTGGTGATTCTATCTGAGATTATGTATGTTGTTTTTTCTGCAGTGGTGTTAGGAAAAGCAGCAAGCTGGTGTGGCAATGGTCACCTCACCGAGGAGCTGGTTAATGGTTTTCCTGCCTTCTCTTCCTTTTGCTCTCAGATACAAAATGAAGCGAAGGACTCATGTTTCTGATGGTGAGAGAACAGCCTCTTAGTGTGGATGTGGATAAACTTGCAGTCACAGAATGCCTCAGCAGTTACTTATTAACTGTCTCTTAAGGCTTGCTGATTTTTTTAGAATAGAGGGTGTGGAGATGCCAGTGGTTCAGAGCAGTATCTTTCCCTGGGTGCTGTCTTGAGAAGTGGGGAAGCTAACGAAGGTTAGCAGGTTAGGATGGGACTCTTGATCATATGTCAGGAAATGTGCTTTCTTTCAACCACACTCTCCATCTGCTAGTAATTTTGTGTGATTGCTGCAAGTATGTACATTTTATCCACAGTTCTTATAGAGTTGAATATCAATTTATAGAGAAGGCTGTATGTGATTTAAGCTATTCTTTCACAATATAATGTCTGTTTTCTCCCTCACAGACAAAAAAAGAATGTTTTGACGTACTTCACTAACCAGTAACACTGGATTTTGTATTCCTAATTATGTGCAACTGGAAGCTGAGTGGAGTTGATGGGTGACTGGAAGTGGGAATGGGATTAGGGAAGATGCTTCTCAAAGTACATCCAGAAGCCAAGCCTCCTCTAAGTGGCAGGATGTATTCTTCTCTAGGCCCATAAAGGTTACAATAAGTTGATGAAAGACTATTTTATTTTCTCTGTGGTAAGCAATCGAGTCTAGAACAACTGTTTTGGATAAGTGGTGTTTGAAGCAATGCCCATGCTTCTGAAAAATAAGTCTTCCTCATCCTTGACTTGAGATCCTTGATCCTTCACTAAGTGCCCGGATGTTTTTTGTTCCTAGCTGACTGTTCTGATTGCCCAACTGTATGTTCCATTAATGCTTTCCCACAAGGTCACCTACCAATATCTTATTATCTGGTACTGTGTATCCCAAAACTGATTCTTTTTTCACCTAAACTTAGTTCACAGTGTAGATGGCTGTGATACCAACCTGGAAAAATAATAAAATTTAGAATATGAGTTATAACTCTTTTCACAGTTTTGGGTGAAATCAGTAGGCACATGAGTTCTTTGCAGTGCTACTAAAATAGATTTAAGATTTTACATCTGTAAGAGATGCTAGTTCTTCATTCCTTTGCTGCAGTCCTTAGCAAAAGAAGGAAAACAGACCTTGCCAGCTCATTTGGGACCTAGCTTAAAAATATGCTGGTCTTGGTAATAAAACTGGCCTCCTAAGAAACCCCATCTGCCATTAGTTGTTCACTTTCACCCATCAAATGGGTTCAACACAAGTTTTTGTGCCATTGTTATTAATCAGCCTACTTAGTCAACCTGGTCCAAAAAAACAAACCTTTTTAGAGTTCACTTTTACGTCTCTTATTCCAATGATGCAATTTACAGCACTGACCCCCAAACTGCTGTATTGGCATATACTGTGTTACTTGCAAGAGGCTCAGGATTGTTCACATTTATGTTACTGGCAGAGACTATGTACTGTGAAATTACACTTCAATGTTAGAGATGAGTATGCTGAAAGTATTGCCTTTTGGAGCAACCTCTGATTTCTACTTGGATGGATATATTTTCTGCAAGAAAATTAATTGATTTGTACTCTTACTTAGTACAGTCTTAGAAGTTGTATAAATGAACGTCTGTGCTCACTTGCTTTCTCTCCCCATAATCGCATTATATGTAACTGCCATCAGGTCATTTATTTTAATTTACTGAATATACTCCCTGCACAAAAATTTGGCTAACAGTCTACAGCTTGCAAAGCATAGCTTCCTTTTATTTCATAACTAGGTTCTGTCTACATATAGTCTGTTACGATCCAGAGTCCCTTATGATAATGTCATCTGGCAGGACTGTGTGTACATGCTGTAGATTCCTTTAAGAACCTGACATTCTTTTTCTGCATTTAAAATAATGTGTAAACACACTGAACCAGGTATTAGAGCTAAAGAGTTGTGTTAATATATTGAGCGTGTCAGGGTCTAAGTGCTGTTCCGTGTTCTTTGGCTCATGAGCGTAGGTAGGGATTTTTGTAAAAACAGAACATTTACTTCTTAGTGCTTTGTAACTTTTTGAAATACGTTAATCAGGAAATCCACACTAAGTAATGAAGCAAGCCAAAGGGTATCGCAGCCAAAATTCTTTGTGAAGAGCAGAGCTAACAATAACTGTATTCCATTCCCAGTTAAGAGCTCTGTGAAGTTGGAAAGAAACAAGCAATGACATAGAATTAAATAATTTCTTTTCTTCCTATCTATCTGGAAAGCATTCCAAAGATGGTATTTGCTTCTTAGGTTGGATTTCAATCTACGATTACATCTTTGCTGTAGCATAACTTTACAGCTAAAGATACAGGTAGGAGGTAAAGACTTAAATGGGGACAAAGATCTATAACAAAGACAGCAGTGGTTCTTTTTTTTTTAGTGTATGTCTTCGTGACATATAAGTAACACTGATGTAATGGCAACATATATTGAGAATTACAGACAATACAGACTCTTTCAGATGGAGTGGAATGTGCCTGTGTCAATTGTAAGCAAGACTGGCTAACATGAGAGGTCTTCTGGTTGCACTAACAAGGCAGTTTTACTGCTGACAGAGGGTTTCTAGATATCACTGAGCCTTGCATTTTGTTACAAAACCTCAAGACGACATTTGGAAGGGTGGCCATTTTTAATGACATTTCAGACTTTGCCCTGAATGCATTTATGTTTACAGCACTGGAAATTTTATGTGCATCTGAACTGCAGAATTTGCAATCGTCTTACTAATCTCTCTGCTCATTTAAAAAATAAGAATAAACGGTGGACTATGTAGAGTTGGTGGCCTACACTGAACTTTGTAATCTTGTTGTCTGCCTTCTTTTTCAAACAGGAACAAGGGCTCAAGTATACTAAGCTTTTAAAGTGTTTAGTGAAGGGTTGCTCTGCAAGTGGCTTGTTCCCATGGTTAACTACTCTTTAGAATGAAGAATTGTTTTCATAAGAGAAAAGGGTTTTTTTGTAATGTCTTATCTGAAAAAAACGAGCGGAGTAAGAGAAATGCACTTGGTCAGTGCAGAGGGTTGGCCCACTCTCATATCTCATCTGTGGCAGGGACTAATAGCAGATGGTGAGAGAAGGGTAGAAAGAAGGGAGCTTATGTAGTGGTGAGCTGCTTCTCAGGGAGTTGTTGAGCCAGTGGAGGTAGCTGTCAGCTTAACAGCTCACGATGGAATTTTCTTCCAAACAATTGAACAAATTTGCTCAGACTCACATTTGGTTGATTATTACTAGTTCCAATGCCATGATGTGCTCATCTTTTTGTGGTCTTCCATGAGCTAGATTTGTCAGTATTATGTTTGTTTGTTTGTTTTTTAATTGAGCAAGCCCACTTATGTTGGCTCATCCACAGAGGTCATGTTTTCCACATTTTGATTGCTTTCCTTAGAAATCTGTCCTGTGCTTTGATGTGTAATGGCCAAAGTTTGCTGCAGTGCTCCAGATGTAACCTCAGCATTGCTGAGTATGGAGTAAAAATCACCTCCCATAAAACACAGAACCATTAAAGTAGTTCTGAGTCCGTCTAGGAACAAAGTCTTCTCCGATCTTTTATCCCTAGATACTATGATGATAAATGAAAATATTTGGTCTGATGGAGGAGAAATATTTATTCACTCTCAGCAGGATTTGGTTGGACAGCGTTTTTCTTTGCTAACAAAACAAGGAGTTGTTAAATCAAAATGGTCTTTCAACAGCTGCCACCTGGTCTAACAAAAACTAAAGATGCCAAACAGCACTTGTTTAAATCCCAACGCTTGTTTAAATAGGTCTGATTTTTCAGACCTATTCTGATCTCTGATGAGTAGGCATGTATCACAGTAGGCATTATCACACAAAAATGTGATGGAGAATATGTAAGTATCTGAGATCAAGCTGAAGGCTTCTGACTCATTTGCAAACTGCTTGGAGGTGTGCTTTATTCTCATTACATTTAATTCTTTAAACTGTGTGCTTTTATTCTACCACCTTGAATTCTAAATGCCAAAAAAATGTGTAATTTGATGTATTTGACTTGAAATTTTGTGCACTAACCAGGTAAGGGATAATGGAACTGTGATGATAAGGCATGACCGTAGGTAGGGTTAAATCTGCCTTCCATGAATTTTTTCTGTGTGTACAGATAAAACAATACAGTTTGAGCTACAGTTACTCAGTATGTAACTGTTTTAGATTGTCTGCCTAACCTGTCACACTGCCAACTCTTAAGTCATTGGCAGGTTTGTAGGAATAAAATTTGATCCAACAGCTTACATGCTCTGTTAGCCCATTTCACACTTTATGAAATTACTACAGGAATTTGGAGCAGTGACTGTAATTTAGAAGAAGAAAAGGGTTGTTACTCTGTTACAAAGTGGCTTATTTTAAAAGGGTTGAATTGGACCAAAACATGAATACTTTTATGCAATCAGCATATTTTGACCTTTATACCTGCTCAGATTTAAATTTCACAGGCTTCACAGACAATCTGCTCTAGGGGATGCTGTTCTATGGCTGTTTAAACCCATCTAAGCCCAGGCTGCCATGGTGATCTCAGTGCCTCCTTTAGTCTGGCTTTTGCAACCGCTCAGATATCTAGGAGCCCGGCCTGGCTGAAAATGCACTGCAACTTTTAGTATGGCTGGATCTCTCAGCTAATTTACTGTGTGGTTGAAGGAGCACCAGTAGCATCTCAGGGGAGCTGGAAGGAATACATGCCTTGGCAATGAGGAGGAATGCTGTAGCTCGAATTTAAATCAGTGTTCACGTGCCACAGATTGCATCATTAGTGTCAGTGCTGAGGTGGGAAAAACTCAACTCCTTGTGTTACTTCATCTCCATCAGAGGGCTGGAGCACCTCTCCTGTGAAGATAGGTTGAAGGAACTGGGCTTGTTTAGCTTAGAGAAGGGAAGGCTCTGGGGAGACCTCACTGTGGCCTTCCAGTACTTGAAGGGAGTGTATAAACAGGAGGGGGAATGGCTGTTTACATGGCTGGATAGTGGTAAGATAAGGGGGAATGGTTTTAAACTGAAACAGGAGAGGTTTAGGTTAGATATTAGGAGGAAGTTTTTCATTCAGAGAGTGGTGTCGCACTGGCACAGGTTGCCCAAGGAGGCTGTGGATGCCCCATCCCTGGAGGCATTCAAGGCCAGGCTGGATGTGGCTCTGGGCAGCCTGGTCTGCTGGTTGGCGACCCTGCACGCAGCAGGGGGTTGAAACCAGATGATCCTTGTGGTCCTTTTCAACCCAGGCCATTCTGTGATTCTGTGATTACGACTAGATCTAGAAGTGTATGCTGACTTTCCCAGCTGACTTGAGAAATGAAACAGAAGATGGACACCCTAATGGGGAGTACTACAGTCAAAACAGAAATAATGGTATATAGCAAAGTCAGTATACACTGAAAGGCTTTTATATGTAATTCTGCCTTGCTGAAAAACATCAGGCTGTGTTATGGAAATAATGCTGATTTTAATACAAGGTCCTAAAATAACTGTCATTAGTCAACTTGACCTGTGCACAAATCTTAATATTTAAAGACTGCTTCCTGACCTTCTCCAGCTGCACAGACAAGAAATGAAAATAATCTCAAATTTCCAAATAGAGAGTGACCACTACTTTCCATTAGTTTGTGCTACTAAAAAGGCATCCATTCTATATAAATGAAAAAAAGAGTTAGTGCTTAATATAATTCTTCAGCAGTCTTTATGAACAGTCATGCATTTGATCTCAATAGAAGCAGCGTAAATTAGGATTGTTTATAACATTTGATGTGTGTTTCTAAAAATAATAAAAATAAAAGGCTTTAAATGTAATATGGGATAAAAGCCAGAAGTCTATTAATTGTCCTAGAGATCTTTCATCCAAAGTCACAGGTGGTCAAATTTAAACAAGTTTACGCTGTCGTTTTTTGTGCTGCTCGGTATGGCATTGTTCTGAGAGCTTTTAGTATTCCCAAGTGAATGCTCACACAGTCTGCATGCGTGTGCTTGAGGTCTGCAAAGGTTGTGGAGGTATGCATACATCATGCAACAGCACTCAGAGGAACCTGTTCAGGAGCAAGAAGCTTCAAAAGCATTTGAGGCTTGTTGTCTCTGTCTTGCTCTATTTCCATGTCTCATGCAATTCCAAATTTTCCTTTCTCAGCTTTCGTCTTCATAGACCTTGCAAACCGATGGTATTTTGTTCTGCTTTTCGGTTTCCCACCTTAGTTACTATTCTATAATGCACCAAGTTGTATATTCTCTGTAGAAACAACCATTAGTCACCATAGTTCAAAGCATAGGGCCATGGCTTGCAAGGGCCAGAGCAGCTCTCCTGGCCTGACCACTTCTGGGAAGAGCTGTGGTGAGATGACAGACTAGGGGCTGAGATGATCCTGCAGCTATCTTTCAAAGTTCCAGCTTTTGCTAGGTGTTTTCTTTCCTCCAGTGGTCCCTCTTAGCAACAACTCTCTTCCAGCATTCTGCTACAAACTTCTTAGGAAATTGGCCACTTTTCTGCTTTGTTTGTAAACATGTCCAAACCTGATGATGTGACAGATTAGAAGGAACCCACATGGAGGCACTGCTATGCATTTCTTGTCATAAACTCATAAACAGAGGGATTCTTATAGCTGGTAATTTGTCTGTCCTGACTTTCCTTCCAGGGACCTTTACCTGCATTTCCTGGCCCTCCTGTTCCTTTATGGACTTCAGAGCACTCACTCCTCCATGGTCATAAGATGGTAATGTCTCCCCAGCAAGTCTGATCCTTTAACGTGTTCATCACTACATGAACTCTACCTGTTCTTTCCAACAGGAAGGGTGCACAGAATAGGCTGAGTAGGAGTTCCTCTAAATAAACTTGCTTTTTCCTGCTGCAGGGGAGAGAATGTGCTCTCTGTTGCTGTGCCAATGTGCTTTGGCCCCACAGCTGCCTGTCCGGAAGCTCCAGAAGCCCTGAAATCTAAGCAGTTGTTCTTAAACCTTTCCCACTGCCATAGAGCGTATGTGTTCACAACACAATTGCTACTGAATCTCCTCTGAATCCAAATTGTTCTGAATTTTTATCGAGCAGCGTTAATGGATTGTTTCTAAAGGGGTTTATACACACGTGTGTACGCACACAAACACACACACGCTTCATATAGTACATGTGCATTGCCAGGTATCACACTGAAAGTCTCATCTAGCAAAGAAGTCGTATTTTTATGTTATCAAACTTTCAAGTTACTCAGAAGAAAAGCTTAATTCTTGTTTATCTAATGGAAGAGAATTTTCTACCAAGTAGGCTGCATGGAGTTACTTAAAATGCGCCCTGCTTTTACACCATTAGTTAGAGAAACTATTTAACCAAGTTTTCTCTTACCAGGGCTTCGTACCTGAGCTGCTGTGAGTGCCTGTATGCCCATCTGCCCTGCCTTAAGCCTCTAAACAAATACACGTTCCTCAGCATTTCCTGCCTAAGTCTTAGCATTTCCCAAAATAAGGCCTAAGGGCACCCTAGATTTCCAAGAAAACCAAAGGAAAAGAAAGAATCTTGATAAGCTGTTTTTTAATTGGTTAATAAATGAAAGCTAAGCTATAAGAGGAAATGTTTGAAAGAACAAACTGCAACAAGAGACTTCTGGCAGGGCTACAGAGGGAATTCACACATGATACTCTCTGAAGTTCAGACGCTGGAAAGGATCTACAATTCCTTTTCAGTGTGGAGACAGGAAATACTCACCAGACTGGTAGTCTTCAACAGCTCTTAAAAAAAGAGCTGTATTTTAGCTACGTTTCATTGCCACAGAAAGATTCCTGCTGTGCTGTTGTATCAAGCTGTATGTAAATCT